GATACATATGAAGAAGAGAAAATTAAGCTTTATTTTTCTCCATGGTTACGAAAAGTTATGACAGTTCCTCTTTCTGCTGCTGGGAATGAAGTTTGACCCAAAGTTTGCTGCTTAATAAGGGGGGCTTCATACAGACGTGAAGGTGACTTACACTTCACGACGAAGTCAGAGTGGGCAGGGTCCGGTTTTGGAAAGGCCCATAGTCTACAGACAAGCCAAAGAACACTAGGTAACATTTGTTATAGTTGCTGCAAATACAAGAACATCCTGAATTACCTGAGCCAGCTGCATTTTAATTCAGTCTAACTCTGCATGGAGCTCTGCGTAACATCCAAATTAAGACTAAAAAATAACTCATACAAACTACTGAATGCCTTTAAAGCCAAAGTTCACATTCCTCTGTAGAAGAAGTCTGACCACACTTATCAGCTCTGCTCGTGAGGTAAGCAATAAGCACACCACAGGCAGATTACGATCAGCTCACACACCCTGACAGAAGAGGAAGTAAGCTTTGTACTGTCCAGGCACTGAGTGTGTGACTTCCCTAGAGGTCTCATGTATTATAGTGACGCAATACACTGAAATTTTGACTGACATATGATTCCAAGGGATTTCAGTGGTCGAATACAGATGACCTTATTTCACAACAGTACAGTATGAGTCTGCTTCCTATGTGTGGACTTTAATTACAGTATGACTGAGAGGTCTGGGTCAGATCAAGACATCTAAAGAAAATACTTTGTTAGTTTCTCTTCCAAGGTTGTCCTGTGAAAACCACCGTGATCATGCCAGAGGTCAAAGGATTTGATTTTCTTAGTACCAACTGAGCATGGTTTAAACACCACAGCATACCTGAGTATTGTTGCTGAGCGTGTCCATCCCTTTATGACCACAGTGTACCCATCTTCTGATGGCTACTTCCAGCAGGATAACGCACCATGTCACAAAGCTCACATCATCTCAAACATGACAATGAGTTCACTGTACTCCAATGGCCTCCACAGTCACCAGATCTCAGTCCAATAGAGCACCTTTGGGATGTGGTGGAACGGGAGATTCTCATCATGGATCAACTGTGTGATGTCATCATGTCAATATGGACCAGAATCTCTGAGGAATGTTTCCAGCACCTTGTTGAATCTGTGACACCAAGAATTAAAAAGGGGGTCCAACCTGGCACTAGCAAGGTGTGCCTAATAAAGTGGCCAGTGCTTGTACATTGGCGCTACACAAATACTGACAATGATAAATACTTTTAAGCATCTATCGGCGGGTAAAATAGCGTCACCAGTTCTGACTTGTTCTGTTAATTAAAAACTGGGTTCAACAGAATTTGCAAACACTGTTTTATGTTTGTCATCCAACAGAATGCAAACAGGACTGGACCCAGACTTGGCGGAGGGAGAGAGGTGGGTGGGAAAGAACAGGCGGCGCTCGCACAATGCAGCCGTGCGAGGAAACAAGCCCAGAGGAAAGAGCGAAAGAATGGTCATTGACAAGTCTGCAGCGGCTGGTATGCAGGTTGAGTCAAGTTCACTGGGACATGATTAGTGATTCTGGCTCAGGATCAGCTGGCTTGTGCAACTTTCATACAGGGTTACATTTGGACTCTGCAAGCATCGACACATGCGTGAATGCAGACTGGATGAACACAGAGATTAATTCCTAATCGGCAGTGGAGCGTGTGTTTGCATGTGTATTGTGAGTGTAGCCTATGATTTAGTGCGTGCATGTACAGTATTGACATTAGTGTGATCATGGGAAACAAACACAGTCTACTGTACTTCAGGCTCGTCCCTCCTGTTAGCTCACGCTGCCACTCCACAGGATTTACTGAAGCCAGCGAGCAAACAGTGGCAGCAGTGTAAGAATGAATGGAGCCACAGAGGGCTTATCTTGAGGCTGGGATGCTGAGGCAGAAGTTATACGTTTACACTGGGAGTCACAGAATATTTTATGGATACTTTTTCAACCATGCCAATATGTGTACGCCCTTTGGAAACCATCCCAGTCATCAGGAGAAAGGCTGGCATTTCTGCAAACATACGTTGATATGGTTCTTTACGTTTCAACATCACTGTAGTTAACATGTGGGTATTTTTAGGCACAAAAACTAGTTGGTTATAGTAAGGAAAAGATCAAGAGCAAGGTTTTGGTGGCACAGTCCTGGCCGGAGAAGCCATCGATGTGTCTGTAAAAGCAACCACTTTTTGTGGCACTACCTCAGCAGGAAGTGCAGTAGTGTCTGGGGAAAAGACGAGTGATTTTCATGGCACTATATTAGCTGGAAGAACAGAGACAGGTCACTAAAAAACACCCATAATTGGTGGCTGGAAAAGTTGCTGGAAACTCAGTGATGACTCGCTAAAAACAACCAGTAGTGTCACGCCATCCATCGTCCCCTTCACCTCCGCATGACTAAAATCAGCTCACATACATGTGATCAGAACTAGAGATGATCCAACACCATCTTTCACTTCCACAGACCAATTCTGATTCCTGTACTTGCATTACAGCCAATACTAAGTACCGATCCGATACCACAGAGGTAAGAATGAATACATAAATAACAGCAGTATACTCCTAACCCTGCATGGATGTGAAATGGTTGCTATCGTTGTACGGCGTGGCTCAGGTTGAACCCTAAACTGGTGGGAATGTCCGGTGTAAAATATTGCCAAATGTCTGACATTTTGCTAACAGCTAAAATTACTCAATTTAAAAACAAAAAAACTTCCCTTAAATGTGGATGTGAAACTACTTTAAAGATTAATCATGAAAAATTATGTGGTATCAGATCGGTCCAGAGACTAGCATACTCACTGATACCCGATCTAGAACTTTAGGCCGAGTCGGAGGCATTTCCGAAACTGGTATCAGTATCGAAACAACTAATCAGCGCTACGTCTCTTTAGAAATTATGAAATGATGGGTTTTGAAATGTTCAAATGTAACGTATTAATAGTTTAAACGTACAATGCCAACTATCGTGATACTCGCGATATTTCAACTTGTTGACATATTGACATCATACTGTTACCCACAGCAACAACAAGCATGGCTAAAAGCAAAATTATTACAGACTCTGTGGTGGTTCCACAAAGAGGAGCAGCTTCAGTAGTGTGGAATAAACTGTGGCGTCCTGAATGTTTTATGAACAGCCCCGGACTTCTCAGACTCTTTTAGTGACTTACCGCTCAGAGGGAACTCATTCAGCGGCTCCTCTGGCAGCAGCACAGCGTCTCTCCCTCTCCTCATGCTTATGTACTGACAAAAAGCTCCATATATGTGAATGTGTGATAGCTGTGGTATCATAACAGCCTGTCACAGGTTACAGCGTGATGATTAGAGGAGAATTGGCAGAGCATAAAGGTGCAGAGGAAAGGTCAAGGATACTGTTAATGCAAAAAATACCCTGAAATCTCATGATAATATTCTAGGGCCATGTCACCCACAATTTTTAACTACGTGTCAAAACTCTGGTGCCACACCATGATGACAGTCAGCTAAAGTCAAAACGAGCTTCCTGAGAACACACTGGCTGAATTCAGTGACAGCATCTTCCATTTGAGTCCCTCTGCAGCTCACACACTGAGAGAGAGTGCTAACGCAGGCACTCCTGTTGCTGTCAGGATGAGCTGCTCCCAGAGGTGTGACAGCTGACGCGATGGTAATTGACAGGAGGAGCATCGCTTCCAATATTTGAAGCATTCTGCTTAATTGAAGATAAATCTCAGTACGATAACCCGCAGATGTTGCACAACAGACACTGCAGCCAGCCGCCATGCTAATCTACTCTTGAGCTTCAAAGTTTGATCTTGACCTTGGAAACACACTCACACATTGATGGAACAGCCATCAGGAGCAATTTGAGCTTCAGTAGGGATTCAAGGATACTTTGACATGTCGACTGGAGGAGCCGGGGATCGTCCAGTCGATCTTCCGATTGGTGGACGACCCGCTCTACCTCTGAGCCACAGCCGCCCCGGTCTATTATTCAGTAGCTACTTTGGTGCTCTGGGTCACATCACATGAGCTTCAGCAGCAGATGGAGTTTGGTCAGTAGTTATGGGATTGGGATCTAGTGATGAAGCCCATGAGTCATGACTAAAAGTTCCACGACTACAGAGCTTCAATTTGGGTTTGGTCTGGCTGGTTGCTGTCACCCTGATCACAGAAATTCTCAGTTGAACCACTGGAGATCATCACTTCTTGCAGCCCTGCCCAACTCCCTGTTTCCAACCTTAGAGGTGACACGTCTCCAGGTATTACCCAGCTCCTCCCTGGACGCTAAGCATCTTTAGCCCCATTTGTTTTCAAGTCACAAACCTGACCTATTAGAGCTCCCTGCCAGCTGAGCTCTGCTGCCAAACTGCGGGGGTAAATAAAGCCTGTGTGGAGTACAGCTCAGTCGTCCTTGCCTCCATTCTTTCACAGCGGCTCCCGAACGCCATCTCCAAAATAAGCTGCGTTGCTCCAGATTTAAATTAGAACAACCTCTCTTTGTGTGTCTCAGTCGGGCCTCCTCTGTGTCGGCCAGTTTCACTAACACAGGTTAAGTTTGGTGTTTAACCACGGGCTTTGTTTCACAGAGGGGGAGCCCCCTGACCCACAGCCGGTGCTGCTGAGGGTTTGTTTCCTCAGTGGCGATGCTCAGGACAATCAGGTCACCATAAATCACACAGGGAGGACATGTCTCAGTGGTTAGTGGGCCAAACTACGTCCTGACAGGGGAGGTCACACATTTCACATCCTGTGCTTGGCTCTGCAGCCACTGCACACACACACATGCTCAAGAGCACTTCAGCTGCAACCCTGACTCCACTATATAAGAGGTGGTGCCTCCATCTGCAGCCCCACCTATGGGTCTGCTCCACTGCAAGGCAACAAACACAGAGTTGACACATGCATGCATCACTGGTCCATCGCCCCCCATCACCACCCCAGGGCCGCAGCATCCACCATGCAGCAGCAGCAGCAGCAGCAGCAGCAGGACTCACCCAGTGTTTTGACCGCGATCTGCCGCGTCAGAGGCGGCGGCAGGTTGATGCACACCAGATCCACATCCTGATGCAGCAGCACGTCGTCGATCCGGTTGGTGTAAAACGGCACGTTCATCTCCTTGGCCAGCTCCTCCGCCTCCTCCTGCGTCCGGCCCCACAGCGCCTTCACGGCGAAGCCCTCGTTCTTCAGCAGCGGGATGATCACCCTGGCGGTCAGGCTGGTGCCGAACACGCCGACCCCTGGCAGCATGGCTCGGCTTTATGTGTGTGATCTAGTCCTGTGGTCTGTTCTCACTTTGGGGTCTACAGCCTCGGATGACGCCAGACCTGCTGCTGCAGCAGCGGCGGCGGCTGAACGGGAGGGACGCGGCGGCTGGGACCGTCAGGTTGGCCATCCACCTGCAGCCAAACACCCGCTGTGCTGCATTCTCCCGTCGCTGCCGCTCTCAGATCGGGCATGTAATGTCTCGGTAAATAATCCAGAATCAGATTCAACCCGGGGCCTGTCTTCCTCTGCGTTAAAAGGAACAATTTAAATGCACCATTCCGGTCTGCACCTCGTCCACGTCTGACAGCGATCAGCGCACAGACTGCGCCAAGCAGTGAAGGGCATGGCACCTCCTTCCTGGCGCCGTAAATCCTCTCCCAGCTGGACCCCCCCCTTCACATACACCGACACGGAATAAAAGACACCCGGACAGGAGCGTTATCTGACGGCATGCTGGCAGGAACACGGCTGTCGCCTTGTGTCCGCTCCCCGGAGGATCCCGCAGCAGCAGCGGCAGCAGCGATACTAAGCTGAAGGCTGCTGGTGATGGTGCAGCTCAGACCCGCGCGGCAACTTCGAGGCACTGACAGGAAGTGCTGCTGGTGGAGGACTGTCAAAATAAAAGAATCACTTGATTTAATTTTTTTAATTTATTTTTTTATTTAATTTAATTCAATATACTTTATCAACCCCCCTGAGGGGAAATTCAATTTTTTAACTCTTTTTTTGTCATTAACACACAGGTCCGAAAGACACACACATGCACAAACAGGACCTATACATGCACAAAGTGGAGAGATGTCAGAGTGAGGGGGCTGCGGTTGGGGGGTTTGGTGCCTTGCTCAAGGGCACCTCGGCAGTGCCCAGGAGGTGAACTGGCACCTCTCCAGATGAGCATCTGCTGCCATCATTTATACCTATATTGGCTGCCATCTTTGTAGTATATGTGTGGAGTATGACAAAATGAAATCTCACAATCTCAGAAATATAAAGCAACAGAGTGAGATATGGATGCAACCAGGGGCGTACCAACAAATTCTGGGCCTAATTAAGAAGCAGTCTTTCACTCTGTTGTCAAGCCTGAAGTACACACACATGCACAACCAGTCAGGATTCTCAGTCATCCAGGCCCTGGTAATCTTAATGGCTATATCATAGGCAACTGGACTTGCTTGAGTTTCTTGCAGACATTTGGCCTCTCATCCAAGAAGCTTCTTGAGTTCTAACAGACTGCTACGGAGTTCCCAACCTTTAAACGCTTTGTGGGTGTGAAGCCTTACACAGCGGTTGAGGTCACATGTGAGCTCTGAGTTTCAGAGTCATTAAGGTAACCTGTGAGTCGTTAACCCACACGGCCATCTTGTGTGTCATTAGGGTTAGATGGGTCCAGGTGTGAATGGGTGTTCAGTCAACTAAGGAGGCATCCCAAGACTGCAATGTAGGTGGGTGATAAGTGGTGTCGTAGGCCACCTCCTCTGTTTAACGATGGTCGTTCTAGTTTGACGTAGATGGCTTCTTTCATGCCTCAAGTAGGTACAGTTGTAACAATATAGCACAGTGATGGCCAAATGAAGCCTCATAAAGCATTTTCTTTATTTCCTGAGCCCACCAGATTTGTTCAACAAAAGGTTGAAAGCCTCACTGAATTGCCATTCTCTCTTTAAACCATGAGAGCCATCTAGTGGGCTCAGAAATAAAGAAAATGCTCCACGAGGCTTCATTTGGCCATCACTACTTATGATCACCTATGCATGCGTGAAATGGAGAGACGTCAGAGCGACAGGGCTGCCCATGGCCAGGCGGTTGGGAGATCAAGGAGGCAAACTGGTACCTCTCCAGCTGCCAATCCAAACTCCATATTTGGTCGAGCTGGAGACTTGAAACCGCGCCCCTCAGGTTCCTAATCCAGGTCCCTATGGGCTCTGTAGACTCCCCGCCCTTTCTGTCTTGTTCCACGCCTCCCTTCCTCAGCTCTTGAATTTGCTGTCCTTCTTTCTGTCTTTTCTTTTCTTTTCTTTTTTGAAACCCTGATTTTCCTTTATTGAGGAAAGACATGATAGTGTGAGTTAGTGCTCCAGCAGCGTACAGAGTCAATTGGCTCTAGCTGTGTTTAGAGATGAATCCTAGTGCAGGGGCAGACTAACCAATTTTGCAACCTTTTTTAAGGGGTACGGGGCCTCAGAGAGCAGCCAGTATATTTTTTTCAATATCTGTTTACTGATTTTTTTTTGCAAAGCAGTGTAAATACAGCAAAGAAACACACCAACAGAAAAAATGTAACATTGGTGGTAAGACAAAAAAGGAAAAATAAGATTACACATTAATTATCCAACAAGTTACAGGGTACTGACATAGGACGCCATGGCACAGTTAACCTGTTAAACCACTAACCATTCGCTTTGATTCCGCAATCAAACTAACAACTGGTTGCCAGATTTTCTGAAAGAGTCCCTTTTTGTTTGACATATAAATGCAAATGTAAAACATGACCTAATTCCTTCAGCCACATACCAAATGTTAGGAGCTTCACAGGTGTCCAGAATTAAAGCAGCAATCTTCTCGCTAGCAGTGTGGACAGAGAGATGACCTGAGCCTTATACCTGTCTTTCACTCTACCTGGCTCAAACACCCTTAACAGTGCGGTTAAAGGGGCAGGGGGAAACTCCTTAAAAGCGTCAAATAAATGACCCCAAATGATTTCAAGAAGCTGCCAGTATTTTTTTATACAAAGTTCAGTCTTTTGACCGATTTATTCAGCCAGTTTTATTTTATTTATGGCAATAATTACTTGCGAAAAAATGCAAACAAATCCAAACTTTTCATTTCAGGCTATCTGACCCCGCTCAGTTGGGGCCCTGGGTAATCAGTCCCACTTGTCCCCCCACTACGACGCCCCTGGCTGCAACAATGTAGGTGCTCTGCTTTTTTTCTGTGTCATTTATTACAACCATAGTCTCTTAAATTATTAATCTTACATATTTCAGATTAAGTTGGGACAACCAAAAGGTTATTTTAGGATCATGGGGAAAATGTTAAATCACCTAATTTTTTAATTTTATTCCGCCTGTTATCAGTATCATCATCATTCCTGCATTTATTTTTTTATTCATTGATGATAAGTAATCTTTTTCTTCCTCCACAGCTCTCTGAACATTCACATCTAAATTGCATCAGAGTGTTTGGACCTTGTTTCAGGCCACAAGTCTTCTTCTTTGCATCATTCATTTTTTAATTATTGTCCTTAATTTTCTATTAATGACAATGACAACATCTACAACAATATAATAATACTAATAGTAGTTGTGGTGGCAGTATCACAAACGTTGCACTTTTATTTTCTTAACAATCCTGGACAATTTCCGGTCTCATTCTGTCTGTCTTTGCGTCACTTGACGTCGCTCTCAGCGCGCTCTCCTCCCCAGTTTAACCCTTCAGCTGCTGGACGAACACAATAACAGAGTCACTAAAGCATGATGTGCAGGGAGAGGTGAGGGTGTATATTATCTTCATCTCATCATTCATGTGCTGCTATACTCACAGATATTTAGGTGAAGAACTGTCTTTGCATTCTTCTTAAATGTCTCAAGTGAAAGCAGATATTTTTCTAAAGGTGCTATTTCAGGTTTTCCCTGAAAAGTCCAACAAAGATTTTCATACTTCTGAATTAAAACACTTTATTTTTACCATCTTTTATTCATCTATCATCAGTCAGCACGCCGGCAGCTTTAACGTCGTGTACGCTGTCCTCTTTTTCTCCTGGTTATTGAACATATTTCTGCCTCACACACCTCATTCAGAGTCCTTATCTTCACCTCAGCCTCCACGAGCTCTGCTGCGCAGTGAAATGTCACCCTCACCCTGCTGCATCCTGCACCCTCTCCGCTCCACAGAGCCGTGTAACACAGCCTGACAGGATGCAGCCAGACAGAAACTGTCAGCGGCAAAGACATCATTTTTTAAGGTTTAAGATATGATAGAGTTGAGCTGCTTTGCATTCTGCAGCAGGGATCAGAGGCCTTTGAAGTGAGGAGAGGATTTGAATCTCATCACGGCTGAGTCCACTGTGTGCTGCTCTTCTGCACGACATCTTCCACTGCATTTAACAGAGCGGGTGCCTCACACTCTGAGGCCTCACGCTGGACTCAGACACAGCAGTTCATCAGTTCATATTGACCTAAAAATAATGTACAAAATAATCTATGAACATGTCCAGTGATACATGGTTATTTGTCTGTAGGTGTGAATGTGAGTGTGAATGGTTGTCTGTGTCTATGTGTCAGGCCTGTGATAGGCTGCTGACCTGTCCAGGGTGAATTAAAAATGGATGGATGGATAATATACATTTGCTAAGATAAAATAAAACCTGCTCTGAGCCTGACACAAAACAACCTTTCACCTGGCTCTGACCTGCAGCTGACGGGATTAATCAACGACATTTCAATGGATGAAAAATAGCTCCAATCGATACAATATCACACTGACGTGCACACATCACTTAACTGTTATTTTTGTCCATAGTGCTGCTGCTACTGAGAATCAATGAGAAAATGTCTCACACACGCATTTGTACAGTTTCGACATACGTCAGGTTGTGCTGTCAACATCCAGCGTCTCCTATCGATTTGGTCCACAATGCACAGAGCAAACAGAGCAGGGAGGCGGGACTTTGGACTGACTGATTGCGCAGAGAAAGTGATGAAAGGCCGCCACTGGCTGAGGTCAAAGGTCAAGCAAAGACAAAACCCACGGGTGTTCTTGTCAGAGACTTTATGGCAGAATGTGTGGCTGCTAGAATCAGAAGGAGCAGCAGCTGAGGCCTCTTTGAACACTGGATCGTTTGGTAACACGACTCACGTTCAGTGTGCAATCGGCGACATCACTTCCTCCTTAGGTTACTGTAATACACCATAAGATGAGCTCGAGAGATTAGCTTTTAAAAGAAGTCAATACTTTCCCCTGCACCATACATAATGAATGCATGTGTTCAGGCCGGCTGGTGCAACTTTCAAAGGGTGACGTATAAATTGTGTAAACATGAAAAGCATCATGTCCCAGCACTGTCTCTGGTCCGCTCTCCCTCTTTCTCATGGTCACGCTCTGATTGAATCAGATGTTGGTATGGTTTGTTTGTGTGAGACAGGTCATGTGACCAGTCGGGGTCAGGCCTGTTGGATAGCTGATTATCCAGTTGGATGGAAGGGGAGGTGCAGATGGGGCAGGAGCAGGCCGACACCTCCCACAGCAGAGGGGCTGGATGATAACCTGACAGCCTGCTGCAGGCTGAGATGATGTGGGCGGACTAGTTCAGGCCAGTAAACATATCACAAACATTTGGAGCTATCTCTGGACGTCACCTGATACAAAAATGTGCCCATGCTTGATTTGGCTCGCAGATAAATGTCTTTATCAGTGGCTGCCATCGAGCTGCATGAGGCCAGCCTCAAGGAAGGGAAACACTGCCCTCTAGTGGGTAAATGTTGCTCCATCAACTTGACCAACAGTCTGCACATTCACCTGCAGCACACCTTTACTCTCTGTCTGAGTTTATCTTCTTCAGCAGGAGTTAAAGCTCATCCTTTGTGACTGCTCCAGAGGTGCTCAAGTAATTTTCCCTTGTCAGATTATTTTAAGAGGTGTGTAAGCATAAAACTACACTGTCAATAGTCAAATTACTAGTGATGGCCAAATGAAGCCTCATGAAACATTTTCTTTATTTTCTGAGCCCACTAGATGGCGCTCATGGTTTAAAGAGAGAGGCTCAAAGAATGGCAATTCAGTGAAGCTTTCAACCTTTTGTTGAACAAAAAGTGGCATCTAGTGGGCTCAGGAAATAAAGAAAATGCTTCATGAGGCTTCATTTGGCCATCACTACAAAATACAAAATGTTTCCCTAATCTTTAAATCATGTTAAAACTGAGGCGGAATTTATATGTCTGCGTCGAATTGATGCTGTAGCCTGACGTGCACCTCCCCAGAAATGTAACTACACGTCACAGCGACGCAGACCTCCTGTCTGTCTCTGTCAGCTGAAACCATTTCCCTCAGTGGAAACAAAGCTTTTATTTACTTTAATTTCACAGATAAGAAACAATAAATTGTGAAGACAATGAAGCCTCCACAAAAATAGTATTTTAAGTCTTGTGTGTGATTTATCCTGGCTTCATATGAGCAGAGGAAATCTATGCTCATCGCTAGGCTAACTTATACAATGTAAAATGCCATAGGCTTGTGCTAATAACGTTAGCATGTTGTATTTGTTTGGAAAACATGTTTAGTATAAGACAGTTGTTTTGTCAGTGAAAAATGTGAGATGTAATGGAGCAGAATTTTAAAATGTTACCTTTGTTAAATGATGCTGTTGTCCCTGAATTAATATGAGAAGAGGAAAAGTCTGCTAGCTGCTAGGCTAAATTATACAATGTAAAATGCCATAGGCTTGTGCTAATAACGTTAGCATGTTGTATTTGTTTGGAAAACGTGTTTAGTATAAGACAGTTGTTTTGTCAGTGAACCTTGTGAGCTGTAATGGAGATGAATTTTGTAACGTTACCTTTGTTAAATGTTGCTGTTGTCTCTGGTTTTATATGAGAAAAAGTCTGCTTGCTGCTAGGCTAATTTATACATTGTAAAATGCCATAGGCTTGTGCTAATAACGTTAGCATGTTGTATTTGTGGGGAAAATGTGTCCAGATAAAGACAAGTGTTTGTCTGTGGATGCTGCGAGTTATAGTGAAGCTGATTTGTGTACTTGTGTTTGAAATGGTCTCTATTAAGCCATGTTTAATGTGTGTTTAATGTGTGTTTTGAATCAACTAAACTTTACAGAACTTCACAGACCTCCACTGCTCACTAGTGTTTTGGAGGTGTAACTGCAGAGTGACACAGACACACCACCATACAAGTATAAATGCTCACAACATTGTAGACACTGCCGCATGAGTATAAATCCCCTTTTACACGCTTCTTGAATAATGAGGCTAGAATCAGGACGCAGACCAGTTGTGGTTTATTTCAGCACTTTTAATAATTACTCAGAGGCACAAATACAATTTACAGGGCTACCTTCCTCTACATGTGCGCCCAAAAGTGACTTCCTGTTCCAGCCTGTGAGACCTGCCAGCTGAGGCGGACAACAGCAGAAACACAAACAGCTTCACCTCACACTCATACACACACACTCTCCCACCCACACACATACTATTCTGCCAGTCCTCTCACATCGCAGAGCTTTTATTTCTCCTTTCATGAATCCGTATGTAACATCGGTTCTGAAAGAGAGATGTGATTGAACAGGTTTTTATTTCTTCAGCCGAGCCTCAGTGACACCTTGAGGTAGATAACATTCTCCAGTCACCTCAAACATTAGAGCTGTGAAACACACACTGATGATGATCCTATTTTACCTCCAGAAATCTTTTTTTTTTTCTTTATTAGCATCTTCTGTTTAGGGTTTCATGTTTTATTTACGCAAAGCTACTGATATTCAGCTCAGTAACCAAATTAAAAACAAAAAAACATCTTTAATAATTTATCTTTACAACTTTCAATGTTTCTTAAAACTAAACAATTTCAAATTTATTTATACAGAACTATTTTTTTTAATCTTTGGTGGCTAAAGTATAAAACTGAACAAGAAATTGTTTGAACTTCATATTGTGATAGAGTCATTTAAACCATTCATTTGCACCGTGGTTGCTTCATTCTGGTTTCCTAATAACTTTCAGTCCAGGGTGCCTCTGTGTCCCGAGGGGGGGATTCAGTCCTGTGTTTTTCTGATGGGTTGGAACAAAACACAAAAACTTCCCATCTGCCTCCGTCACCACACACACCGCCTCTCTGCCTCCTTCCATACAAATCAAACAGAAAATTAACACTTAAAGTAACAGAAGATCAGTTATAATGTAACAAACACTACACAGACCGTGACTATATAGTTACACAGGCGAACATCGACAACTGAACGAAACAAAACAAAACACAGATGTTGCATAACTGACAATCAGAAGTTCTCATTTCCCTGCAAAGGAGCACAGGAGAACACGACTTTCTGCTTTACAAAATACTGCACAGCTAATTTGACAAAGAAACTGTGGAGGTACACGAGAGAAAGGGCTCGACGAAAATCTCTTCAGTCCACGTGAGATGGTTTGAAATGCCCCGGACAGTGCACTATTAGTTGCATTTGCAAAAAGCGGTGGCGACAGTGTGGCCGCGCTCTACGACGCATCAGTAATACTTCCACAGTTTCTTTTGTAGTCATTTTGGCACTTTTTCTCCTACACATTATTCTACTCAGTCTGGGACTCGAAGCCTGAAGAGCTTGGTAAAATATTATAAAAACAACATTGAAACATGAGTATTAAATAGCATGGAATAACTTGCTGTGTGCAACCTCGTAAGCTCATTTATCAGTATCTCGCTCCACTTCAACGTACGAAGAATGTCACGACGTATTGACCAGAGGAAAGCGTCACTGTAGGCGACAGAACCGGGTGAGAGTCCACATTGAATTAAGTGCAAAGTCAACAGTGCTGTCACTACGTCTACACGGGAAGAATTACACAGATTCACATTTGTACACTTTGTTAAATGCCAACAGCTCAGATGGCAGATTAAAAATTCAGCTGATCTACTTTCTCATTAATCTACTGCATGCTGTCAAACAGCCCTTGGATTTAAAAAAAGAATCTATAGGTACTCTAAACGGAGCACTACTTCAGTCAGCATAAATATGTATACATGTGCATTTCATATGTCATCCTATAAAGCTTACAAAGGGTCCTAAAATATAGAATATGGCTATTTTCCCTATTAAAATGATAGTGTTATTAGAGTGTGGGAGATGGTGACCAATGATCCAGCTGAAATGCTCCTATCCAACATGTAGTGAGCACATCCTCTCAGCCAGTCCGTCAGTAAATCATTGATGAGGCGAACGACCACGAACACTACAACTACATGCTGCTTTAGAGAGGACCTTCAGTTACACACGTGACCCTTGTTCTGCAACGGTAACAACTCTACAACCTAATCAGAAAGCTTCTAAACACGCTGCTTGCTCTCTCAGACTGAAAGCAGCTTCTTTAAAGTGATCTTAAACAAAAACATTATCACGAATGGTGACGCAGACCGCACAGATCACCAAACTGTATCTAATATTGAAAGTCCAGTATGTGTTGTCAGCTTTCAAAGCCACTCTGTAACTTGTCCTTGTCTCAGGTCCAGCAAACGTCTCTGCACCCAGAGTGCAACATGAAAGACTACGAGGTGCACACATTCTTTGCTTATCTTTACACAGTGAGCACCAGTAACTCGACAACATCAACACAAGAGGGAAAGAATATGAAAATGTAACAGAACATAACAACGTTTTCAGAGTTAAATGAACAATATAAAGTGTCTCTATGCTCTATCTTCCACGTGCAGGGGTGCAGTGGCCCGGCGTGGATGCACACTGTGCTCGCTCTCTCGGCCAGTCGACTGATTCAACGCCGTTTCCTTCGTCCTGAGGTCCTTCAAACCATCTGTCAATCACAAGTGGTCCCGCCTTCCAACAACCCCCGCCCTTCACAAAAACCAAATTAGGCTTCTTCCCCCCGAAAATGCCCGGTGACCGGTATCCATGGGAACAGCCCATGTATGCAGGGTGGGGCGTTAAGAGTTTTTTTATTTAAGAGTAGATGGTGATGACTTCACGGCCGCCGCCTCGCACCAGGAGAACCCGGTTCAGACCCTCGAGGAGAACCTCCAGGAACTCCATGTCTGAGAGGAGCAGTCAGGGGATCAAACATACAGAGACATAAACAGAGAACCACATCACCACACACATTATATCCCCCCACCCTCATTTCTGGATCCCACATCTCAAAGGTTTCAGTTAGATGCCTGAAATAAGGTCTGGCACCAAGCGTAGTTTTTCACTTTTGTTCTACTACATTAAATCAGTCAGTAAACGTTGCATCTGTGAATACTAGTGATGGCCAAATGAAGCTTCATGAAGCATTTTCTTTATTTTCTGAGCCCACTAGTTGGCGCTCATGGTTTAAAGAGAGAGGCTCAAAGAATGGCAATTCAGTGTGCTTTCGACCTTTTGTTGAACAAAAAGCGCCATCTAGTGGGCTCTGAAAATAAAGACAACACTTCATGAAGCTTCATTTGGCCATCACTAGTGAATACTTAACCATTTACTTGTCTTAAAAATGCGGTTATAAGAAGTGGCTAAACGAGACTACAGAGGTTGTCGGGGCCGTTAAATGTCATCACGTCGAACACAACCTTAACAGCCTCATTATGGTGGTGACACTGAGGTCATGCCAACATGGTGTTGGCTGTTTATAGCCTAAGGTAGCTTTTTACTTCTGGCGATTGTATTTATACTTAAAATATCATAAAAGCAGTGTTCATTTCTGAACAAACCGCATAAGTATAATAAACAGAAAATCCAATGGAAAAATCCTATTGCTTTTTTGTTGAGGGAACCAGGGTGATGATATCTTCCAGCCTGCCCTACCAAAAACCCTGGTCCCTGCGGGGCGAAAGCTTTGGACTCTGCTCACTTTCTGTCAGCTACCAAGGAAACTATGCTATACTTTTACAGGGTGTGTTCATTAATCCAATCTGAGGTTCTACATTAAGTTAGAGCGCTGCTGTTCGAAGACAAACTGAATGGTAGATTCTAGCAGTGCTTCAAATTTCGTGCCAAAGTATGCTCCAGCACTCGGAGTGAGTATTTACGAACGCACAGGACAGCAGAGAAGATACCCACACACTGCTAGAAGGCCACAAAAAGGTCCACTGGTTGAGATAGATGCAAAAATAGTCTATTTATTTAAGACATCTGTGCACAAAAAGGTGCTCAAAGTGCAGAAAGAGAAAAAAAAGATAAAGACTTGACTACAGTGACGGTCCAAACACATGTGGTGCCCTCAGCAAGCCTCCCCCGGTATTGGTAAAAAATATTAAAAGACAAACAGTTTTTTTTCTTCCCCCATTTGTGGCGCTCCCTATAGATGACATCACCTTTAGCATTTGCCTATACAGCCTATACCACGGGTCGGCACTGCTCGACTATCGTTGGTGCAGTGTGTTTACGAACGCACCCATAGTTTCCTTGTCAGCTGCTGCATTAACAAACATCCCAACAGGAAACAGAACCAGAACATTTATGTTATAATGGATTTTTTTTGCCAGCTAGGGGCTGCAGACACATGTTCAGAGCACAACTTCGACATATGATCACCTTTAAAGTTAATAAAGCCAACCTAATAGCAAACTATTGCTTATTTAAACACTCAGCGGTTACAGAGCGACATTAGCATTCGTTTGGAGTTGTGTTATTGTCCAGCTGATGAACTTAAGTCAAATATTTACTCTCTTGTAGCCCTGTTTTTTGTTGCCACCAACTTGCCCCAACTGACTGCAGTTTGGGGCTGAGCTGGTAGTATACGGTAGTGATGGCCAAATGAAGCCTCATGAAGCATTTTCTTTATTTTCTGAGCCCACTAGATGGCGCTCATGGTTTAAAGAGAGAGGCTCAAAGAATGGCGATTCAGTGTGCTTTCAACCTTTTGTTGAACAAAAAGCGCCATCTAGTGGGCTCAGAAAATAAAGGAAATGCTTCATGAGGCTTCATTTGGCCATCACTGGTATACAGTGGAGTTTGAGAAGATTCATCACTGAAAACAGCTGCTTGATGCTGCTAAAAACGATGCGAGCCGTGAGAGTGACGTGAAACATCATCCTCACTAGCGATCCCTTTCCCATCATCACACTGTTATAATAAAAGCACAGATTACAGCTGCTTTAAGGATACAGTTTTCATCTCCGCCTCTGTTCCTCGGTGGTCCGGGCATGTTGAGCAGCACCAGGTGAGCTCCCTGCGACTTGTTGACCACCACTTCATTCAGCTTGACAGCTGTGTGCATCCGACGGACATTTGACTGGTTCCTAGTTTGACAGGAAGATCAAAGTGAGAGAGGACAGCACTAAAGAAAACATGGAGAACTAAACTAAACGCTAAATTTCAGAGCTAAAAACTGTATTGTAATCTTCACAACTTCATCGATGTGAAACTAGACTTGTGCTATGTAAGACATTTTCTCTGTATACTGGTGATCTGTTGAGATCTTGTAAGTAATCCGAGAGTCTCATAGCTTAATGCTGGTGTCAAACTACAAAAGGCCTTTTTCATAGGAAACATAGTTGACCCATAGATTTGCAAGTTCCATAGGACACAATGATAATAAAGAGGTTTTGAGTGTGTCAGCACTTAAAGGGATAGTTCCGTTTTTGAAGTGGGGTTGTGTGGGGTTATATCCATATACAGTATATTACAAAGAGTAGATATCAGTCAACACGCTCCCAGTTTGGAGAAGTAGGCTGGAGTCTGACATGGAAGCTAAGCAATGTACTGCTGTAGATAGGGTCTGCAGCAAAACACATTTTAGTCACCTAAAGAAAGTCCCAACTAAAAAAATCAATATCAGTTTAAGTGTACGCTATATTGACAGTATTTTCAGTGCTTTACCTTTCTGTCAGACAGCTGGTTACAACGGGAAAGCTGTTAACAGCTTCAGTTCCCATCTATGCTCTCGTCAAAGCCACCAGACTCCATTGACAAAATGAGTAATTTTACCTCGCTCAACAGGAGAGCTGCTGGTGTACTGCTGTTTCAATCAGTTAGTTAGTTTGTGTTATTGTGTGACTTTGGTGAGTCCAAACTAACTTTTTTTAACACCAAAGTCACACAATAACACAAACAAATTAATTGTTGGAAGCAGCAGTAGCCCAGCAGCTCCTGTGCTCAGCGATGTTAAATCACTGTTTTTGTCAATGGAGTCTGGCATTAAAGAGAGCTTTATTTTCCAGCTGGAAATCTCTGTCTGACATTAAACGGTTATTGATATTTTTACGTGACTAAAATATACAGTATATTTTGTTGCTGGCCCCTCCACAACAGTCGATTGCTTAACTTCCATTTCAGACTCCTGCCTGCTTCTGCAAACTTAGGGTGTGCGGACTGCCATCTATTGTATGTAATCTGCTGTCTATGGATAACTACCCCATACAACCCCACTTCAAAAAAACAAACAAAACTGAACTGTGCCTTTAACCCTTTAAAACCTGAGCTAATTAGTTTGTTTTTTTTAAATGGGACGAAGGCAATGAGCAACGAAATAAAAGACCTAAAATTTTTTAAAGAAATATTCAAAAAGAGAAAATTAAAAACAACAAGAAATGCAAGAAAATTGTTTAATTGCATTAAACAAAAAAGTAAATGACCTAGAAATAGTGCTTAAAAATTATTATAATTAATATAATTACTTTTAAATATAATAATAATTATTATTATAAGTAATAGTAAATTAAATAATTTAATAATAATAAATAATACATTTTTGGGGGCAATTTGTGGGACATTTCTTTACAATTTGCTCATTGCCCTGTTCCCCCATGTTTTTGAAAGAAATCGCACTAATTTCCCGAGGGCTCAATGGTTTGAATACTTGTGAAAGGCATCTGAAGGCAGCACAAGAAAAGTGATGTCGCTCCAGGTTTCCGAGGGTTGAAGTTACTCTGTCTTAAGTCTCTAGTGTTTTGGTGGTGATAAAACTGCTTTGAAAACATGTTGAAATGCAAAAAAAAAAAACTATCTTCACATCTTAGGTTGACTGACACCAAACATCACTGGTATTGTATCATTTACTGCTAATAAAAAATGGTGAATTATGCTTATGTTGTCGTTTACTAACTACTAAAACAGATTAGTGTGTAATACACCCTGTATAGGAAGAGTACGTAGTATAGATTTGGTAAGAGTAGGATAATCACAGGTGTCACTAATGACATTAGCCATGACTGTATTCTATTCAAAAGCAGCCATGATTCAATCGTGCTTCACCAACTGGACATTTCAAATGTTTTCTGTGGAAAAGGCCTATTGGAGCAACATGGAAGCTCTCCTGAGTGTAACAGGAGTGGAAAATCCTCTCAAAACTGTGAGGGTTTGAGCCAGCACCTGCTTATACCTTTGTCTTTTAATGAACAAAACCAGTATTTACAGTGGAGCTGGAAACCTCACTGAGAACAGGCTCTGGTTTACGTGGTTACACAACAAAAAAACTAATGTCACAGGGTGTTTTTCTGACTTGCTGATGAATTAAAACATCACTGATATACTTGTAGAGAAATCACCTTAACCAGTAAAACACATGATCATATATGAAATAACATTCTGTCAAGTTGCATTTTAGCATGTTGTTCGTTAGCGTCAAACACAAATGAGTAAACAAGGCAAGGTGAACAGACTGAAGCAGCTCCAAATAAAGAGGCAGCATTTTGAGACTAAAGAGACGTGCAGTATTTCACCACGAGGTCCACATGGTGTTTATTATTGTGTAGTTTGTCATAGCTTACTGTACTCATTGAATCCTGTGTATTAAAGGGACAGTTCACATCAGAATCAAAAATACATATTTGTCCTCTTACCTGTAGTGCTGTTTATCAGTCTAGATAGTTTTAGTGTGAGTTGCAGAGTGTTGGAGATATCAGGTGTAGACATGTCTGCCCTCTCTCCAATATAATGGAACTAGATGGTACTCAGCTTGTGGTGCTCAAAGCGCCAAAAAACACGTGAGAAACTCAACATCAATGTCTCTTTGCAGAAATCATGACCTGGTTACTCAAGATAATCCACAGATCTTGTGAGCAGTTTCATGTAGGAACTATCTTCTTTCTACAAAACAACACTCACCAACTGGAGCTCTGATCAGGCCAAAAGAATCAGGTCCTGCCCTACATGAACCCGCACAGTTTCTGTCCATGCCCGACCTATGGCAACAGTTTTTGACCCAAAGCCCGATTAAAAACTGAATTTCTGCTGCAAAATAAATGTAGCACATATTATATTTTCTGTATTCAAACATTTAGAAGCTAGGGGATGTGTTTCCTCGCACCACTTCTCCTTCTTTCCTTTATTATTTCAATAGTCTGCCGTCAACAGGTTCGGCAGAGCGGGCTATGCTTCTCGTCTAGTTCGCAAGGTGATCCAAGGGCGATGTGGCGCCCAGATGATGATGAGAACTGGTCTTCGCTTCATGTTAGGCACATCTCACCCACTGCTGGGGAGGCAGAAAGAAACACTGCCAGCCAATCAAGTCACCTTGCAGCCCTTCCTTCCCCCTCTTTCATCTGTTTTCCATCCCTCTCTCACATGTGCTCCCTTTTCCAGTTTTCCAGTATATTATTCAGTTTAGGGCTGGGAGGTATGGCGTAAAATCAATATCACAGTATTATTTTGGGGGGATGCGGTGACAGTATGATATCGCAGTATCGTCTTCTCTCTTTTTTTTTTTTTTACACCTTAAATAAAACAATTTAAAAAGCCATACAAGTCTAGGATGAAAACTATTTATTGTCAGAAGTAAAACAGTTGCTAATCCATCTATTACTGTGTATAAAATGTTATATAGTATGTATAAACATTAGAGGAAAGAGGGAGGACCGGCAGCTCCCAGGCCCCCTTCTCCCGTGGGCCTGGGTTTGGGGCAGTCGGCCAGGCCATCTCCATCACGTAGCGAGGGAGGTGCGTGAGGCAGGCAGGCAGCCTGGCCGGCTGGCTGCCGGGCCCCATTCTGCCGCCATAGCCGGCGTGCTGCAGTATGAAGGTAACCATAAAAGCAGTACCGCGGCTCATGTTTACTGCGGAAAGTTACCGTCACCGTGACTACCGCCCAGCCCTAACTCAGTTGTTCTGTCATTTTCCAACTCGTACTCCCATCCTCTTCCTCTCTCTTTCCCTCTTGATTGAGGCCGTTAAAACGCCTGCTATTTACTGCCAGTTGAGTTTAAAAAAACAAAAAAACAACATCTACTAAATTGGCGAGAAACCAACTCGATTCAAACCAAACTTACAGCCTGGCAGGTCTGGTTGCGCAGAGGTCAGAGCTCTACTGCCAACCGTATCACTGCGCAGAAGGAAACATCTACTGCTAGCTCACTTAGCACCACTGAGCTAAATAACGTTACAGCCCAGCCAAGGAGGACACTATTAATGTTCACTGTCAGGAGCATGAGCCTCTCGTCCATGAGTAGATGCACGCTTCCTTCTGCATGGTGATATGGTTGGTGGGTGTGAAAATAGTTCCTACATGAAACTGCTCACAACAAGGTCTGTGGATTATCTTGAGTAACAAGGTCATGACTTCTGGAGAGAGACATTGCTGTTGAGTTTTTCAAATGTATTTTTTGGCGCTTTCAGCACCACAAGCTGAGTGACATCTAGTTCCTTTATGTTGGAGAGCTGCAACTCTGCAACTCACAAAAACTGTGAACTGTCGCTTTAATAGTTACAACTCTTCCAGCTCTGTCTCTTTAAATGTTGCCTCTTTATCATCATCCTCACAATGATTTATCACAAAGCAATTAAAGCACACAATGTCAACTGCCAGAAGCAAAATCACATTAAGGAAAAAACAAGACACTTTCACAAAGTTCTGCTTTCCATTACACTGAAAAACAAAAACATTTATGATTTCATGTCATGCTCAAAAGTTTTATTTAAAAATATTTATTAATCATTTTAAAAAAGGTCAATGGAAAGCACAAAGTTGCTCATGCAGACAAATCTTAAACATTATATGCAAATTAAACCAATGAAGGCTTTCCAACCAACGAACTGTTAGAACAGGAAGTCCATGCAAATTAGGACACACAAACAAGGATGCAGACACACACACACACACACTGAGGTGCGAGCACACGAGCTGGAGGACACTGAGCAAAGCTACAGTCACCACAGCAGCAGCACACACACATGCAGCCTAGAGCAAAAAGAATGCCACTTACAGACTCTCCCACTCTCTAGAAGGAAGAAAATGGAACAGAACAACAGAGACAGGCTTAGATGCTTCCTACATCAGCTCTCTCCACCACACTGCATGCTTCCAACTGTCCCAAATGGCTCACTGGGACACCCGAAGGTGACCCACGAAGACCCCAGAAGGTGAACTGATGTGTATGGCGAGGCTTTGTGAAAAAGAAGCCTCTGTTTCTTCCTGTCCGGTGAGACTTTACGACGACTGATTTGAAAGGCAAACTTTACAGGCCAATAAAAGTGGACTGGGCCGCACCTGATTAAGTCCACACACTGATCTTATGGACAGTATGGGATGAGACGGCGTTAATGGTCTGCGTGTTCTGGCCATGCACTAAGACTGAAATGGCTGGACGTGTACACACATGCGCACACACACCAAATGCAGCCTGAATGCACACGCCATGCAGAGAGTCCTCCCGTTTCACCCTGCCAGGCTTCGTCACTATGGCTACATCTACACATGCTGTCCTCCTGCACTGAGGCTTTGGCACCATCCTGAAGTGTCGTCAGTGCTGAGGTTTACTCTTCTAATACTTTCTGACGCTTAAAACTTGCTGTTCAAAATGGTGCAAATGTCTCTCACAAGGCACATGCATAACACTATTCACAGTATGTTTCAGTAGCTTATACAGAAGACTTGACACTCAAAATTTCAAACAAACAAATACTCACGGCTTCATGTTGAACAGGTCGCGCACAGCCACGTTGGCGTTGCACTCTCGGTTGCGATTACGCTCCGAGAAGAGCTTGTCCTTGGTCCAAGTCATGTGGACCCGATCGGGCCCGGTGTCGGCCTTGTCGTTTATCGTGGCGTGAGACGCCGTGTTTCTGTCATGGATGAGCTGGGCCTGGAGGGGAGCGAGAGAGAAGGGGGAGGAAGTTATTGACCGGGAGATATTTCAGGGGAGAGACGAGATAAAAGACAACGACCAGAATGGATGTAGAGGTTTAAACAAGGAGAGGTGGTAGGTGGATAAGAGGATGACAAGGTTGTTGTCCAACTTTATCTAAGAAAGACAAAAGAAAGGAATCAAAGGTAGAGGTAGAGAATAAATAGTGCACAAAGTGAGAAATCAAACATGGGGCAAAGGAAGACGGAAACCAACAACTTTTGTTCTACAAGTCAGTGAAACCATGCTAGAGAAAAAAGAGAATAATACAAACCTGTTCGACATTTACAAAAACACACATGGACCATACCGAATACACATCACAAGACAGTGTTTCTCTGTGCAGAATTAAGGTCCCAGTGAGGGTTGAAACACGACATTTATGGGTGACTAACAAGACCAGAGCAGTGGTGGTGGAGATGAACCAGGCTGGCAGAGTACAAATAAGTAAGGAAGGTGCAGTATGACGATATCCAAGGGTTTAAATTGAATACAAAGCTTCCAAAGAATATTACACATGCTCAAATATGTTACTGAAACACTTCTAACGCTGGTCTATAAGCCTATACAGCAGATCATACAGCACAGCAGTAGTTAGCAGATAATAAATTATACTTTATTATAATAAAGTATAATCTGATTTTATTATATTTGACAACTTGTTTCACTTCTGTTTCAGTGTCTGTGCTCCAGAGAACAAAGTCAGCAGTTATGTAAGCTCAGCCGATGACAAATAATAACATTAAATTATGGGTTTATTACTAGTATCTGTCAGCATAAAGAAAGGGCTTATGGCCTCTGTGCTGCTTGGTGCCCGTTCATATTTCATAAATGCAGAACATATCGTCTTAAAACAAAGGCAGGCTGACTATGTGACATATTTACAGCCTACTGATTATTGTCATTAAATACATTTAGAAGGGAGAAAGTGTGGTGAATAACATGCACATTATTTTCTGAATGGTGGGTGTTCAGTTTCTGGAGCATAATCCTTTTACCTGTTTTGTTTTTGACCACTAGCTGTGATCGTTACTGCACAGTATGGAGGGTGGGAGATGACTGGGGTTACACGAAAATGATTAAAGAGAGTGCAGTATTGTCAGGTCAGAATGGGGAGTATAAACGACAGGCAGGCTGGACAGTAGCTCTGTCAGAATATAATGCTGCTCAGTCACGAGTGTATCCTCTGAGCAGCGGCCATTTTCAGAAACATGTCAGACTCATCCAGCTGAGATGTAGATGGTGCAAATTAAGATATCAAGTATCAAATTCTGAGGTTTCTGAGACAACACTGTCCTCTCTCTCTGCTCACATTTTTGGGGGAGGTGGGGATGAGGTGGGATTATGGAGGCACTGGGAAGTCAGGCAGCGGTTTCAAGGTGCAACGGGCTGGTGTTCACAAAGCAGCTCTCAATGACTGTTGAGTAAGAGGCACTACTGTCTGGACTCGTGGTTTAATCGTCAGATGTACAAGATGGATGCCATCTGTAATCAGGAACAAGTTACCAAAAGGGCGAATGGCACTTTTCAGACAATGCTACAGTAACAAACTTGTTCTGGGCTGACTAGGACTTCACACTGGTGCGTTTTATGTAGACTGGTAAACTGGGTTTGGCTGGCTGAAGCTGCTGTGGAGCATTTGTTTTAAAAGGAGCATGGTGTAGAGCAACTAAAGTGACTCTGACTCTTTTTCTGTGAGGATTTGTAATAAAAAAAAATAGTGCCAACATTCACAACTGTACAAATGCTTGAGGGACCTTGGTAAGGACCTCTTATAAAATCATCTGTGAGTTTTCTACTTAACAAAACACATCTCAATTAGCACTACGATTGTCTGAGTATGATGACGCTTCAATTTCAGAGGTCAGTCTTTATATAATTCAATAACTATACACACATTTTGACTGATAATTCATGTCCTATGGCATGACTAACTTTAAAACATGGCAGTATCACTACTTCTCTACCCTTCCTTCCTGTTCTCTACACTGTATACGCATCGCAGTCTGACATCCATGCTAGAGTGTGTGATGTATGACTTAGTATGGGAGTAAAATCAGATTTTCTTCGTCCAGATTTTAAACCGTATTAATGATAAACTGTAGCCAAAGGTCCAGCTTTGTGAAGACAGCTTTGTGTTTCTAACAGTGAGACAGTGGGGTTGACAACATCGGCTACCTCGTCTTCCTGATTGTCCTCCGCCGTTGAGGACTGCCGGCTGAGGTTGGTGCCCTCAGCGGCGCCCTGGTTCTTCCTCCGGATTGAACTACGCGATTCGTCAGTGATACTCTGAATCTGAGCGATGTGGGGCGGCCCAGAGCGGCGATGGCAGATGAACAAGGAAAGGGCCAATTGTCATGTAACGTAGCGGCAGGCCACATTTACTAAAACACTGTAGTTACAGACTGAATAATCTGACCTACACTACCAGGGAGCAAAATGCAAACAACATTCAGTAACAACCATCTTCTTACAGATGTTATGAGCTTATTTCATTAGTATCTGATCTAATACACAGCAGAAAAAGACTGCATTCACTTGTGTTTACTTTGAATGCAGCTACAGAGACAAAGAGACTGTGAGTGCAGGGTCGTGCTCAGGTGAGATAAGGTGTACATTACCTCTCTCTCCCTCTCAGTCCTGGAAAGATGCATCTGTTTCAGCATCTGAGACCTCTGCTCCATCACCAGCGTCTTCTCATAGGTGAAGGCTGAGATGTCGTTATCATGCTGCGCAGGAGAGGAGACAAACACTGTCGTCAGTACGATGTGGAGCAGCAGGAAACAGCCACCACGAAACCTCTGAATAAGGCTTGTGACACATGAAGCCACAGTATCAGGGAGCTTTGCTTACTAAATGAAGGGTTTAATGCTGTGCTATCTTATTAAATAAAGTCTCACCATCTCCACTACTTCCACCTCTGCATCCAGTCGCAGGTGGTAAAGGAACATCTGGAGATCCTTCTTCATTTGGATGCTGTTGTCGTCCATCTGGGCCACGGTGAAGATGCGCATCTTACACTTCCTCCACACCTGGTGGAGGAAAGACACTGTTAATATACGAGAAAGTGGAATGGAAAACAAGACTGTCGGTCAGAGGTAGATGGATGTATTAGTGAGACGATGAAGGACCAAAGGGAAGTGGAGGAGGCAAAAAAAAGATGTGACAACCCAACCCTAGACGCGCGCACACCGACCTTGTGCTGTCGCAGCAGGAATGGCAGCAGCATCAGCATGCCTCCATCGTGCACCACCCACCACACGTCGATGGTGCCCTCCCCCAGGCGGTCCTGGTTGGTGGGGAAACTGTCCACATTCTTAGCCACGAGCAGGGCCTGATGGGCCGCTGTGGTCTCCCGCACCGTCTCTGGATGGAGTCACAGAGAAAGACAGTTATTGTTATCTCAGTGGAAAGATTGGAGGATGTATTACCGTTAATTCTCTTCCGATTCTAAAATAAATTCAGCTGTAATTTTCTATAAGTGTCCATATCTGATCATGCATTTCTGCACCTACAATTGTACTCCAGTTTGCTGTGAACTGTCTCCTGCTCTGTACCTATGAAGTTCTTCCACGACTGCGGGTCATTGGACTGCCTCCAGGTCCCGGGCCAGGCCATTAGGACTGTGTTGTGCTTCATGCCTCCCAGCCCTGCAGACTGGATGAGGTGGGACATGCCATCTCGGAGGTTTGAGGACACCACGACGTGGCAGAAACCCTTCGTCCGCTCTGCTGTCATGGCGGACTTGATGTTCTGGATCGAGGAAGACAGAAGAACAGCAAACATAATGTATGTCTAACACTGATGCAGCACTGTCTCTTGAGAGAAACATGTTTAATTAAGATCGTACTGATCTTTGACTGCACTCCCATTTCCATCTATCCAGGACAATTCATTACAGTGGGTCCAAACAATGGCCATTAATACAGCAGTGTGTGTTACCTGGAATTGAGCCTCTGCACATGATGGCTTTCAAAGAAAATTAATCCACTGATTAAAAACGCTTTTGAGGACCCAGTCAAATTAGGTTGCAAAAAAAATAGAGTCAAGTGACTTCCTGAGTGTGGCCAGCAGGTGGCAGAGTTCAGCTGCAGTTTGGTTGTAAAATGCTCACTAACTCTAACTCCTGACTGACGCAACAGATTTACTCGTGGGCCCAGTGGTGCATTTTAAACACTGCCCACAAAGAAACATTTTATTGGCAATAGATGGACATAATTTAAGAATAAAACACATCTGATGTTTCGTGAAACCTGAAATCCTTTTTTGTTTTAGCAGAACTGAGTTGAATGTACACATTTCCAACATACCTGCTCAGCACACCTGGCCTCTGAGTCTTTGGTGAGATAGGTTCCCTCTAAAACATTCCCCACTATCGTGAGGCCTTTCCCCGCCTTCAGCTGAGTGGTGAGGGACAGCAGACGAGGGTGTTTGACTCCTTGGTCCGAGTCAACATTCAGCAGCACCAGCAACTGAGGCCTGTGGGGGGAAAAGTCACATGTGATTGCTTTGCAAAGTGGTGAGTAACAGTAGACTGCTTGAATTTTACATCTCAGAGCTCATGAGCAGCAACAAATATTTTTGTGTTAAAACAAACTGGATGGTGACCTTACAATCCTACAGTACATGTGTTTGGAAGACATAAAGGAACAAACAGTTGCCTTCTGTATCATTGGTAACACGACATCCCTGAGAGGGGTATCCACACTCAACACGCCAAGAAAGCAAATGATACTTGTTTGTTTTTCGGACAGGCAGTCTGCAAGGTCAGCCAGTGTGAGCCTCTGTACAGTACGAAGGCTCATCGACCTCCGCTGTCAGATTAGGTAGAGGACCAAGAGATTAATCAAATTCACCCTCTGTGTCTATTTCTGTCTCGCTTCTGTCCACCGCGACAGTGACAGGTGGCACGATGTCAAACTGTGACCACATCCATATGAAACACACACTCACACACACACAGTGCCGTACCTCCAGTTCTTAGTGTGTGGTGGGGCCTCCTCAAGGCGAATGAGGGCGTAGCGTGCTGCATTTAGAGACAGGCCACGGATGCCGTCTCCCCACTCCTTCTCTGCCCTGAAGCCAACAGATGATTTATCAGAAATTATTCACATTAAGAGGCAACAAAACAGAATAATAAAAACAAAACGCCAGAGGACAGATTTCAACAGTCTGACACTGTCCTCACAGCTGTTTGGTTTGTTTTAGTCGGGTTCCTTCAGATCTGGGAGAACATCTTCTGCTTCACCAAACAATAAGGCTGAGCTGCATCAACAATAATTGATTAAATCTGAGATAAATTCTAATTTGAGGGTTCAGCAAAACTGAACTAAAATGAGTAAATCTATATTTAAAATAAAGCAGAGCTCTGTTACACTGTTAAAAATTAATATCTGTTCAGTAAATCTGAGTTTATTGATGGAAACCAGCATTAAATAGACTTAAATCAGTATGGAGATGTCAAATCTTGTTCAGCTCCATTGGAGTTTCCATGCTGAACTAGTATCTTAAGAGAATATCAGCAACACCATAAAACTGTCCCTTAACTTTATTCAAGAAACTTGATTTTTCTTTCTTGCTTAATCCATCTCATAAAGGCAGCCATTTTAAAGTTAAACCTCCTTGAGTGTAAGTCAATTAATACTGTACCACATTTTAAATTTGATTGAATTACATTTAATTTAAGTTTAAATTAAAAACTAGACTGACATTTACAAAAAGATTTAATTTAATCTTTCTGAAGTTTAAGATAGTTTTAAAGTTTAAATTTAACGTAATTTAAATTTAAACTATGATTTAATGGAGTTTAAAAAGTAATCTTAGTTGGTGCACCCCAGACTATATAAAAAGAAAGAAAGATGTTTATACAAATACCTTTTTGTTACGCTCAGCGGGCCAACTACATTTAGTATGATTAGAGAGGTATCACTAAGTTAAATTTAGTGCATTTTAAGGTCTTTTCAAGATAATTTTTAACCACAATTAAGACTGATTTTTGGACAAACCATCATTGTTATTAGCTTAAGTATTATATTCTGCATTTAACGCTGTAGTTCCTACCGTAGTCGTAGTAGTAGTAGTTCAAATGACCGATGATTGGCTCAGAGAAATTGAGAAAAAGCAAACAGTAGGTGCTGTTATGCTTGACTTTACAGCTGCATTCGATGTTATTGATCATAAAATATTATTAGAAAAATTTAATTGTTATGGCTTCTCCCTGTCTGCATTATTATGGTTGGAAAGCTACCTACAAAATAGGTCACAGACTATCTTCTTTAATGGAAGTTTTTCCGAGGTTAAGTCTGTGAACTGGGGGGTGCCACAGGGAAGTTGCCTTGGACTGTTGCTGTACACTATTTTTACAAATGAATTGCCTCTTGTTTTACAGCAAGCCAACATCTCGATGTATGCCGATGATTCGACCGTATATGTGTCGGCAAACACAGCTGGAGAGTTAAACACAGTTTCAAATTCTGAGTTGCATTCTGTGGTTGACTGGATAAAGAAAAATAGATTGGTATTGAATGTTTCCAAGACAAACAGTATTATTTTTGGCTCAAAATATATGCTTAATTTTAAACCAATGTTAAATATTTATATAAATGATGTGCCTATTATTCAAGTTCAGGAAACAAAGCTCCTTGGAGTCATTATAGACAACAGACTGTCATGGTCAAAACACATCAATAAGACAGTTGCAAATATGGGAACAGGCATTTCTGCTGTTAAAAGGTGTATAAAACGGCTAACAAATAGTTCAAAAAAGCAAATAATTCAAGCATTAATATTGTCGCATATCCGGTAGTATGGTCAAATGCAAAGAGATAAAATAAAGGAACTGCAAATGGTGCAAAATAGAGCAGTCCGTGTTGTGTTAAAGTGCGATTTTAGAACAAATGTTGCTGTAATGCACGAAGTTCTCAGTTGGTCAGTGGTTAAAAACAGACTTCTCTATTCTCTTCTGGTATTTTTCAGAAATATTTTTGTTACAAAAACTCCATCTGTATTATATAACAACTTAACCTTAAGCTCAGAGAGACACAATTACACAACCAGGCAAGCAACAGGAGGAAATTTTACACTACCCAGAGCAAGAACCAATGCAATAAAACGGACAATAATGTACCGTGCAATACAAGAATGGAACTCTATACCAAGTCGTATCAAGCAAGAGAACAGCAAAATCAGGTTTATTAAAACAGTATCTTTTAACAAAGAATACTTCATAAATAATTTTAATAGTTTATGGTAAACTGCTGGGTAGTGAAAGCTTGTGTTTGACTTGCCATTGATATGTATGAGTGTGAGAGTGCTGGATGCATGCACTGGTATGGGATTTCTTGCCTTTGAGATAAGGACTGGTGTTGGCTGTATGCATGTGCAAAAGTGAGCAAATGTTATATCAATGGGAAATCAATTGGAAAATTATTGTGTCTCTCATGAGGGAATATGGGATGTCACTCTTGCCTTTCTGTGGATAGTAAAGACATTTTGTAGATTATGTATTGGTTATGTACATTCTTATATCTGTCATGAAGTGAAACTCAAACTTGGGAGCTTGTCCTGTCTGTATTTTGTGGTCTGATGTTTGTTTGCTTATTTGTAACGGTTTTCTTTTGTTTCTGTGGCGTCATGTGATGTTATGTTGTATGTTGTATGTACACTGACAAAAATGTATATGTGTGATGGCTGTAGACCCCAGGAAGAATAGCCACGGTTTCTGTGCTAATGGGGATCCAAATAAACCTTAAACCTTACCGAATAAAAGTTCACATTTTTACATGCGGCAATAACTGTCAAGATGTCTGACCTCATTTAAGCGTCATACATCATTTTATATTCTATGTATAATGTATCAGTGTTGTACATTTACCTTTATAAACATTGATTATCAGGAGCAGTCAGTGTTTCTCCACCTTTTTAATTCATTTTTATTGTCTATTGTTTTAAAAATTGGGCCCAGTGTGTGACCCTGACCCCAGGAACCCACTGGTTGTTACTGTTTTTTCAGTGAATGTTAATTGTTGTTACTGTATAATGTGTTACTGTAATCGAAGCATTCTTTGCCACAATAATTTCCTTTGGGAGAAACAAGTTCTATTGAATTGAATTGAATTTATTCCCCTTGGATTTAGTTTCTTTTCTGGCAGCGCCGTTTCCCGGCCAACAGTCATATTGACTTGCTGCCACATTTGAACTTTACCATGTCGAGGATTTGCTGTGTGCACCTCTAAATAAAGTCATTCTCACCCTCTGTATTCAATGTATTTGTAGATGCAGGAAGCGATGCCCATGGCCACGATGGCGTAATACCAGGAGCAGATGAACATGAGAGCGAGACACAAGCTCATTCCCAGGAAGGACAGAGCCCTGTAGGAGGAAACACACACTTTACAACAGTGCATTATGTACACACACACAGCCATTAACTGGCATGTGTGCTAAATCTTCACGAGGAAAGCCTCAGTTATTACAACAACAGCTCCCTGACAGGTTAAATGAGCCTGGCACATGTTACAACTGCCTCACATGAACCCTGAGACATTTTTAATATCCTCCTCTTCCCCTGTGAGAGTAAGAAGGGGGTGAACTGCAGAGAGACGATACACTTCATCACCCACCAGTGGTAGTATTTGAAGCGTGGTCTCCAGTTAGGTGTCCGCAGCAGGGTCTGAACTGCACATGCCAGGTTGACAAACAAGTAGCACATGAGGAAGAACCTGTGGAAGGAAGACAACAGGCCCAAAAATCTCACTCATCATCTTAATCTCCTCTTTATGACCTACTGTAAGTGCCTTTAAGAAGTCAAATACTTGGGGGATCAGAGACTTTATCTGCTGATCTGTTTTCATGGAAAGCGAGCATGTAATATCTCTATGCAAACAGATACTGACATGGAGAGGATAGGAGCCACGGCGTCCAGGGAGGCGATGAGGATACCGATCTCACAGATCCCAGCAGTCAGCAGCAGAGCCCAGGTAGGTTCCCCGTTAGCTTTCCCATGACCGAACACCTACCACAGGAAAATTAAAGCTCAGCACAGGATAATTACCGCTTCGACTGTGTTTGTGTTGACCGTGCGTGACTAACCTGCAAGAAAGGCACGATGCCGTCTCGTGCGATGGCCTGCAGCAAGCGAGGGGCGCCGGTCAAGCTCTGCAGCCCCGCCCCACAGCAGGAGAAGAAGGAGCCAATCACAATAACCCAAGGCGAGGGCCATGATAGTGTGCCTATGACGAGGTTCCCTTTCACTGCGTCACCAAATCTGTAATGCAAAAACAATCACACACATTAATTGGACCATACGTTTTTTATTCAGCCTATAAAATGTGTTTGAGAGGGTGCAGGGTCTCATCACGTGAACAAATATATCTGCATGGGACCTTAAACCTTCCTTTCACCGTACGTGCTCTGTGTTAAACTCTTACTTGTCTCGAAGGAGAACTCCCTCGATGCAGGCGCCGAATAGAACAACACAGCTGACGTCTGGGAGGCACCGTTCAGGAGAGTAAATTGAATCTATAGACAGTCTTCACCTTCGCTGTAAAGCTTTAGATATGGTGCAAACACCACCCACAGTCTAACTGGAGGTGCCTGCTCTGTTGTACTGGCCTTTGATTCTTGTTCTAAGGCACGAAAAACAAGTATTCCTGCCAACAACCTATAAGCCGAGCAACTGTGTGGCCTGAAAGAGAACTTTCAATCAATATCTGGCAACAACACAAGCTCCATACGAAACACTTGAGGGCCCAGCTGATAGATATTTCACATAGACTTCTGGTATTAGCATCACACAGAGGTTAAAGGATACAGATGAAGGAAGTGGTAGCGATAGCCAGGATGGTCCCGATTGGGATGGACTTCTGGGCGTCCCGCAAGTCACCTGACCGGTTTGAACCAGCCATGATACCTGGAGGAGGTGTCACGAGAGAAAATCAATCTTCAGAAGTCAAACAAAACTCTTTACTCAACCATAATGTGTGCGTGTGGGTGTGTCATAGTCTCACCAGTGACAGACGGGAAGTAGATGCCGACCAGGAGTGTGAAAAAGGCGGTGATGTCATTGACCACGTAGGGCATGTAGACGTCCTGGGCAGGGTCACTCCCCCCGAAAGATGACATCTTCTTGTCTTCCACCATCATACCCAGAGGGCCGTACACTGACCACATGTTTTCTACGAGAGAGACAGAGTCAGTAGTAACTCAGACATGTTTCTAAGAGGTCCATTTGGTTTCACAGACCTGAGTCAAAAAGGGATAGAGACAGAGATAGAGAGAGCAGGCTGTGACCACATTTGCGCCATTTTAGCCTTAATAAAGTGAAACGCCATGGTCCAAAAAATAGTTCCACTCTTTGGCTGATCCAACCACAGTAACCAAACCAACATGTCATGGATACAGTGGCGGCCCTTGCACATTTGGTGCCCCAGGCGAGCAAACGTCACCAATAGCTGATATCGATGTTTTTATTAGTGATGGCCAAATGAAGCTTCATGAAGCGTTGTCTTTATTTTCTGAGCCCACTAGATGGCGCTTTATGTTCAAGAAAAGGTCAAAAGCACAATGAATTGCCATTCTTTGAGCCTCTCTCTTTAAACCATGAGCGCCATCTAGTGGGCTTAGAAAATAAAGAAAAAGCTTCATGAGGCTTCATTTGGCCATCACTAGTTTTTATATTGGTGTTTCTTTTGTGTTCTGTTGTTATTTATTCTTCTTTAGTTCCAGGGAAACAAAGAAATCTACACTATAAAACAATAAATGAACAGTTTCAAAGTCTTGGCCATTATTTTCATATGGAAAACATCTTTAAAAAATGAGCAAAAGCCTTTTTACTACACATGAAACATCATACTTCCCTCTTTAATATGTATTTTACAGTGCTGTGAAGACATTAAAAAGTGTGTAATGAGGTTAAATATCTTGGCTGTTTTATTGTCAGTGATTTATCTGATAATACAGATATCCACAGACAGTGTCGCAAGTTGAACACGCAAACTATTATGCATGCTTGCAAATGTGGTGCTGTTATAGGAAGAGCAACATGCAAAGACTTAATGTGGCCTTAAACGATGGAATAAGACTCCTCCTTTAACTTCCACGATGGTGCAGTGCGAGCCAAATTTTTGTCAATGTTGATGTGCCGACCTGCTCTGCCTTAATATGAAATCTTATATATTGATAAATGTGCAGGCACTCTGCGTAGTCTCGGAAAATAGTATCATCCAGGCCTTGGCCAACCTGAGGTGAGCTCAGTGAGGTTTTCATCCAGACTGTGGGGTCACTGGCTTGAATTTGTCTTTATAATATGAACTTCCATAATGTAGTGTTGGGTACTTCTTGTCTTTTTTATATATTTTTGTACATAGACGATTGTCTGTTTTTATGTGGTACACTATAGACCTTTCTCTGTGTCTTTAATAAAGTCATAATTACTATTATTATCGACAGATTTCTCCCTCAAACAGCTGTATTTATTCAAGCTTCTCACATCATGAAAACTTTAAAATTTATCTTCGGCCAATACTCATTTTACTTAATACATAATGTAAATCAATGCAACCTCAGTGAGCTGCTTAGAGGTAACGATAACTACTGATGAGCACGATTAGTCATCTAAACGATTAAACGTCAGCCCCCTCGCTAGTCTGCACCAGAAATATTAGTCGGTTAAACCAATTAGTAGTGATGGCCAAATGAAGCCTCATGAAGCATTTTCTTTATTTTATGAGGCCATTAGATGGCGCTCATTGTTTAAAGAGAGAGGCTGAAAGAATGGCAGTTTGTTTGTGTGCTTTCAACCTTTTGTTGAACAAAAAGCGCCATCTAGTGGGCTCAGAAAATAAAGAAAATGCTTCATGAGGCTTCATTTGGCCATCGCTACTGATTAGTGTTTTATTCATGTACAAGGCTGCACTGTCATGCAGCTGTCCGCCACTAGTGGATGCTACAGAGAGACGTCCTCTCGCAAAACCAGCGCGGTTTGGCAGCACTTTGATGTAGAAAATTAATTCAGCAGCAATGAATCTTTTTTGAGATGTTATATTATTTGTTAACTTTAAGTGACTTGTCAGATAATGTGCAGGTTTACATTCATACTGCATGGAGCAAAATGCCTCTCATTTCAGCTGAAATTTAATAATAATTTACATGTTTCATTAACTTTAAAGTGAATTGCAATCATTTCTGTCAGATAATCTGCAAGGTTCAATGTGCCCCACATTTCAGAGGCAGTTTATTTATTTTAGATGTTATTTTAGTGGTTAACTTTTGACTGAGTTGCCATCAACAAAAGGCTGAAAGCACACTGAATCGCCATTCTTTGAGCCTCTCTCTTTAAACAATAGGCACCAATTAGTGGGCTCAGAAAATAAAGAAAATGCTTCATGAGGCTTCATTTGGCCATCACTAGTGTTTTCCCTTTTTTAGACTAGTCGACTAGTCTTAATTTAAATCTTCGTTTAGTTTACAGGGAAATTAGTCGGCAGGAACATCCCTAATGATAACTAGCTCTCCTCCTGCAGATTTCAACATGGATTTGTTGTTTTAAGTGAAGTGCAGAGGACCAGACTTGTAAACTGAATCAGACGGAGAGGGTAAGAGAATGATGATACAGTCAAGGAGGAGTTATTTGAAAGACACTGATGAGAAAGAAAAATAAATGAAGTAAATGGGAATGGGAGAAAGCAGAGAGAGTAAAATAATCACATATGAAATCACTCAGCACCTGCACATGCTTGCTCCAGATTCTTTACATGAAATATGACAGGAATGCATTTGCACTGAATGTTTGGACGAAAACTAGTTTGTCTCAGCCAACCGTTATATAACATGAGGAATGTTCTGAGTTTGTCCTTTATTTAATAAAACATCGCAGTCCGTGAAGGTGTAGATTCCTGTTGAGATATATCGTCCGAGCCTCTACATTTATCTTTTTTGTCCTACTTCTAAAGTGCAGCTTGTCTGGTTCAGCGTGACAAGAGCGTGACCTGAGAAAACTCTGGATGATTTAAACAACTACACACGTGACTTCATCAGATATTACAAAAGTTCAACATATCTTAGAAGAAATAGGTCAGTGAGCTTGTTTTTAAATTCCACCACATTTCCACACTGCTCCTAAAACACTGTGCTCCAACCTGAAATTACTCCGCTGGTCAGCCCGGGGATCCCCTGCACCTCTGTCACGTTGTTGTTGTTGAAATATTCGTTGCAGGTGGCGTTGAGCCCGTCTGTCTCACAGAACAGCTTCCACAGCTTGGTGGTGACCGTTATGTTGTCTATCACTTCTGTCTTCAGACAACGGTCGAAGTTGTGGTTCTGCAGGGTGCGATTCCCCAACATGCAAACGCTGTGTGGAGGAAGAGAAGATCAAAGTGAGACGTTTAAAATACGACTCATTAAACTGATGAAAATACGACTTAACAATTGAAATGCAGTCTTTTAACAGCAACATCTGGACTCACGGGAAGTCCGGAGGCTCAAAGATGGACTTGATGACTCCGGCATAGATGGCAAGGATGGAGAGAATGACACAGGCCAGGAAGACCAACGCAAGCTTGTTGACGTATTTCACCCCGACAAAGACAACCACAGCCATCAGCGCTAGGCAGCATGAGCCGTAAACACGCATGTTATTCAGCAGGGCATCCACCTCATCCTCTTTTTTCTCTGCCACGAAGATGGCTGCTTTAGGCACAATGTAGGTCTGAATGGGGACGGGGAAGGACAAGACAAAACAAAATGTCTTTCATATTGCTGCATTTTTCATCTCTGCACATTAATAAAATTCACAGGTAGGAGACATAAAGGGAGCAAACAGTCGAGGGTAGCCATTTTATTAGCAGTGCACAGCAGCTCTATAGGTCGCTTTGTCAGTTGGTTGGTCCACAAAAATCTCCAACCCTTTGGCGGACACGGTTTTGGCCCCAGGAGGCTGAAATTTGTGGTCTATCACAAGAAGACGCTTAACTTACAAATGGATTCACAAACATGCCCCAGATTTTAAAAGATTGGCTATAAGTCAAAGGACAGCTGCAAAAAAAGTAATCAGCAAACACGGTTCACTTACCAGCAGAATCTCTATAGTACCAAGGATGTACATGGAGCCAGCGAAGGTTGTGCCCAGGTAGAAACAGAGACCGACAGCTCCACCAAACTCTGGGCCCAGAGACCTGGAAATCATGTAGTAGGAGCCTCCAGCTGTGAGAGAAAATGGGAGAACAGTGGGAATGAGTTTACGAGAAAATTAAAAATACATCGGCATTTCAGGAACTAAGAGAACGGAGAAATGTCAGCAAGGTTTTCATCAAGGTCCTAAAAGACCTAAAAATATGCCTGGAATTCTCAGACAACAATATCTAGCATCAATAACCATAAGAAAAAAATCAAGGAAGGAGATGTTGGACTTTATTTCACACAAATATCGATTGAGAATTCTATCCAGCAACCAGTCAGCTGCAGCTACAGCACATCAGCCTATTGCTGTTACTCCATTTTATCCCCATAACAAGCTAAAGAGTTAAGAAAAGGGGACATTTCTGAGACAAATCTTTTCTCAATGATTCATTTTCTATGTATGAAAGATCCCTTCTTTGAGTTTGTATATATCTGGTTACCAAATCACCTTACCTGGCACAACACCATTGGTAGCGATTGCACTCATGGATATGGCGGTCAGCATGGTCTGTGGAGAGAAGACGGTCAAGAGTGACATCAGAACAAAACTCTCAAGTCTGAAGACCTTACACATGTATACCATTGAAATATAAGCTATTTTTATAGCCGGTATTTACTGTAAGTTTAGTGTCAATGTCGTATTGTAGCAAGGGACTGTGTCATGTTGTTATTATCTGAAGGTGGGGGACTCACATGACATGACTTGAGACCCAAGTCCCAAATTTGAGGACTTTAGACATGCTAAAACAACACTGATGAAAGACTCCACTTGACTTTGACTTGATATTCATGGCTTGAGATTTGACTTAGACTTGACACAGATGACTCGAAAGAACTCTACTTATATGAAATATTTGCATTTTCCTAGATAAAATAATAATAGTACATTTTATTTAAAAGCGCTTTCCAAGACACCCAAGGACACTCTGAATAACCAAAATAAGACAGTCGGTACATAAGAAACAAATAAGCAATAACAAAGGGCAACGACAGCAGTAATGATATACAGATCAAAGAACATATTCATAAAACATTTTATGAAACTCCCGGAAAGACTGTTGTGAAAGGCCCAGAGTAACTTGAACATGCATGCAAACTTGGCAACCCACAAGGATGCTGGAGACCAGCAGAGGCAAAAGCACAAGGTTGGTATCATGAAGGGGGCTAGTCTACGGCAGTAAGAAGAGAGCAGCGTTACACGAGGTCTGTAGCCCAAAATTCAGTGACACGACCACCAGAACATCCTACTTTATCCATCACCTCAAAATTCACAAAGAAAAAAAGAAAACAAAAAAAAAACAAAAACAAACATGGCCACTGTCTGTGTGAGTGATTTAAACGTGGAAACTGGAATACATCATCAGAATTTAAATGACTTGACTTGTGACTTATAGCCGGCACTCAACTTGACTTGATTCTTCCCACAGTAACTTGAGTGAGACTTGAAGGTGAAGATATGCTGTCTGTTCAACTATTCAAAGCCAAGACCAACAATTAACAAAACCTCTTCTATCATTTTTTCACAGCCACTTAATTCTCTAACTCCATGAATTTTCTGGATTTTCCCAACAATGGGATACTTGGGGGGCTTAAACCAGCATTTAGCCTAATAAAATACGTCTTAGGGGATTATGCTCTAAGTCTTTCAGATTGGTAACGGATACGAGCTTTTCCATGAAATGATTCCGTGAAGTCCTTGTGACGGAGGAGGACGGTGAAATCAGCCTGTTACCTAACAGCGCTTCCGGATGAGAGAGAGGACAGAGCAGAGGGGACGGGCTGGGAGACAAGATAAGAGGCACAAAGAAAAGAAAAGAGAGGAAGACACGAGAGCTAAAACTTACAGAGTGAAAGAAAAAGGCAGAGGAGAAAGTGTGAAGGTGAGAGAACAGAGGACAAAGACAAGAGGAGGGACAAGGACACGACCAAGATAAACCTCGTGCAGGGCGTCCGGTTTAAAGTGGCAGACAAGCTGGAGTAAAGCCAATTAGCTGACAGTTTTACCTTCCGCTTCCACTGAAGCCCTAAGCAGCTACACACCGGCTTGTCTTGACCACACAAGTGTCAAAGAACTCACAGTAAGAGACAGAACTTTAAAAATCACCACATATTTCCCATGAATCATTTGGACACATGACTGGATTTTACAAGATTTAGTGGAATTTAGGGGCTTCTGGAAGAAACTCAGCCAGAGCCAGAGGCCAAGTTAAACCCAGAGAAGGTCCAACAACAGCATTAATCAAACGCCATTGTGATGCATCGACCTCAACGTTAACCAATGCATCACTGACAGTACAAATCATCACCAAAAAAGCTAAATGAACTGTCTCAACAGTCTTTAATGGTCCACATGAAGAAGAGGGCAAAACTGAGAAAATCAAACTGCTTTAAAGTCCTGAATAAATACCTCAATATCAATGATGTCGCCATTTGTGCTTTACTTAGCTATACAATAACTTCTCTAAAGTGGGCATGAAAATGATTATTAATAGTGCAGTTAAGATAAATATGTTCAGACAACTGTATCACTCAAAAATAACTATCAAGAAAAAAACCTGAATTGAAAAGCTCACATGCTATCTAGTCTAAGTTGACATTTTCAACATTTAAGGATGTTCACAAACTGTAAAACTTCAGTTTATATCCCAGGATTTTATTTGTATATATTTGGGACAAGTGTCTTTAAGGGACGGGCATTTAATTCTTTTCACAAAAAACTCTTGCTCAGCATCAAATTGTTTGTTTAAACCAGTATAAAAATTAGGCTATCAAATAACATACCAATTACGAGTCATGATTTGATCTAGTTTTAAGAGACAGAGCATCTAGCACAAAAAAAAAATGACGAAAAAATTTACGGCAGCAAAAAAAGGAGTGAGAAAGGGGTGAAAACTAAACAGTGAAAAGTGAGGATGCTTTTTTTTGGAGCAGGAAGAAGAAAAAATATTGTTTATGTCAGTGAAAGTGCGGTCTGTGTTTGACAAACAAAGTTGTGAGCAATGGACTTTATATGACAATATTCACAACTTGGATTAATTTGAATGAAAAACCCTTTTGATCCTTCTGATCAGTGGACCCTTACGAACTGAAGGAACATAAATAATAAAGAGAAAGACACATATTGGGCTTAATGACCACTTCAAATGTGATGAGTCACCACTATAGCGGCTAAGCCTAAACTTAAAGCCATTGAGGGGCTGCATAGACAGTCTACTTATTAATTGACCGCTGCTCTGAGGTGAAAACAAAGAGAGCACATCGTCTTTTTCTTGGATGCATAATTTATTTATCACCATCGTAGTTTTGAATGAAACTGGAAACATGCATTGAATCTGTGTCCATAAACCAACCCAATACACAAACTTTCACCAATACACAGAGCACCATGCGGCTCACTTAATGTGGCCTGGCGTTGCGGTCAAAAAACTATGTGTGCTCCCCCATCTAGCAACACCTGTCTCTCAATCAATGGTTCCTACCTATATTTGACAGACACCCATGACAATAAAGTGACCCCTTTTTTCGTCTCTCTTGTTTACCATGCTGGTAAATCTGAATTAATTATACTTTGGCGCTCATAGTCTCCATAAAATGAACTGAGCACTTGAACTGTGGAGAATCTGACCATGGCTAACAATGTGTAGCATGTCCATATTAACAGGAGTTAAACACTTACACTTGTATGCACAATCTGAGCAGCCTTGCACTAGCTCAACAGGTTGCCAATGACCTGCAGGGCTTTAAGATCTAAAGGACTTCTAAAAAAATCAACTGTTTCTCGGCATCATTGGCAACCAGACTGGGCGTCATATTGAGACCTGCGTGAATTCATCAAAATGTGAAGCCACACCAGCTAGTTAAAGGGATTCCACCTTTAATTAGGGCTCAGTTTTTAATTGAACTTTCACAGTGATAGAACACAAAGAGTAACTAATAGCGAGATAACTGCGATCAGGTGATATATATACCTGATCTTTTACAATAATGTGAACGATGCAGTCGGAAAAATAACCTGTTTTCATTTTTAAAGCTTATTTTCTGGGCGATTTTTGCCTTTCTTGATTGGAAGGTGGACAGAAAAAGGGTCAGAATCAAACCCAGGCCGCTGCAGAGGACTTTGTCTACACAGGGTGCGGTAACACTTTACTTGAAGGTATCTACATAAGGGTGACATGACACGGTCATGAACTTGTCATGAACATTATGTACATGTCATAAACGTTCATGACTGCTGTCATTAAGTGTCATTCGGTTTTTGTAATGACAAGTTGACATTGCTTGGGTTGTCTTGATTATGACAACTTGACATTAATTAAAGTGACATTACCAGAAGCTGTCTTTGTCATGACAACTTGACATTAATCAAAGTGACATTACCAGAAGATGTCTTTGTCATGACAACTTGACATTAAATTTGTTTGGGATGTCCTTATTATGACAACTTGACATTAACCAGGATGACATTACCAGAAGATATCTTCGTATCAATCATTATGTCAACTTGTCATAAACACAGAAAGAGATGCATTTCTTGTTAATGTCAACTTGTCATGACAAAGACATCTTCTGGTAATGTCATCCTGGTCAATGTCAAGTTGTCATAATCAAGACAACCCAAACAATGTCAACTTGTCATTACAAAAACCGAATGACACTTAATGACAGCAGTCATAAGAATGCTGTCAGAAGTTGTCTTTGTCATGACAAGTTGACATTAAATTTGTTTGGGATGTCCTTATTATGACAAGATGACATTTACCTGGATAACATTACCAGAAGTTGTCTTTGTATCAATCATTATGTCAACTTGTCATAAACACAAAAAGAGGTGCATTTCTTCTTAATGTCAAGTTGTTATGACAAAGACAACTTCTGGTAATGTCAAGTTGCCATAATCAAGACAACCCAAACAATGTCAACTTGTCATTACAAAAACCGAATGACACTTAATGACAGCAGTCATAAATGTTTATGACATGTACATAATGTTTATGACAAGTATGACAGTGTCATGTCACTCTTATGTAGATACCTTCAAGTGTTACCCAGGGCACACACTACCAGGTGAGCCAGAGGTCACAACATGACACTTTTTTCATCTTTAAAACCCAAACCAAAATATAAACAAGGGTAGCACTGATCAAGAATCAATTATCAGTTCAATCATGACCTCGAGAATCAAAAAAAACCATCTAATTCCTACCCCTATTTATTCAAAGCATATTTTGTGTCGTGAAATGCTGATGTGGCTGCATTTTAGAAAACCAGGTGCTTACTGTGACCTATAAACACAATGCACCTACTGTACACACGTTGTTGGGTAATACGCAGCCAGGAGAACATACTAATCATGACATAATGGAAAATATTCTGCATGCTGTGCTGTGTGCTGAGCGAATGAAAAGGTGTGTTTGCTCTCTCAATATGTGAGTGGGGGACCTGGTCTCATGAGAGCCATCCTGACTCACTGAACCTCTTTGTGTGTCGCTTTGTTTAGTGCTCTTTAGAGACTGTTTACAATGGCTTTCATGCAAACAGTGAGAGTAGGGAAGATTATTTAATCATGATTGATAAGAGAATACCAGAACAAGAAATATGCTGCACGGAATAAATTATAACTGCTCTAAATATAAGTCATGTGAATTCCCTTTTTTATTTTTAGACATTTCTGGTGTTGGGTCTGGAGCGCACAAACCATGACCTATAAACAGGTGGCTGATGTGGAGCCATCAGTGCAAAGTCAGATGTGGTTTAGGCCGAGAAAATGAACATTAATCTGTCTGCCTAAGCTTTACTCTCTTGTTATGTAACGGCAGCAGTGCAGTGGAGGGTAAACCTCCTAATGCACTTTAGCTAGATTGTAATATATGAAATGGAGTCCCCATCTTTCTAGGCAAACTGTTTTTACAGCAACAAAATCTGTTGCGAATTTATAACATTAGATGACAGACGCAGAGTTCTGGGTGAACACGTGATTATTCCAATAAATAAAAACACCACGTCTGAGATATATGGATCTGATTGCTTCTTTAAAGGAATGGATAAGAATAAAACTTGACTTTGTATGAGGTCACTTGGCCACGCTCGGCCATATTGTATCTGAAGTTGATCATGTTCTACCATTAGAGCATTCCATTAAGAGGCAAAAAGCATTCAACTGAGATAGCACTCCAGGTTTTTTGTTTCTACTTTCCCTGATTAAGCTGAAGTAATCCATTGTCTGCCGTGGGACCGGCAAATATAGCCACTGTGTGGGTGTGCATGTCGCTATGTTTCTGACACTTTGCAGATGGAGGGATTACACGTCAAGCTGCTGGGTACCATTAGAAGCGAGGGAGCGTATGAGAGACGGAGAGTCGTGGCGTCTAAATATAGGAGGGATCGGATCAGTCACCGCTAAATCAACTTGCCTGTCATTCATTACTGCTGCCAATCCCACATTTGCACCCGTCTGCCATTAAAAGTTGAGGCAACATCTGCCGCCAGCGTCACCGAAACACTCAAGTACAGGGACATGTATTCACTCTCATGTGCTCGTGTATTCATGATGCATTAAAGAACGTGGACGTTTACATTAAGTACTCTTACATAATCTTACATGCCATTGCCCTCATGGCTTAGACGCTAAAACCTTGATAGAGGACATGTAACATCCATGTTTGTACCATTAAGCCAAATAGTAGAGCGGTGGCGTGGATCCTGAAACCTTCCTTTAACTTCCACTTTAAAGAGATGAGTCAGGTATGTCACGGGGGGGTTAAGTACTCACACAAGAGCAGCACAGGCAGACAATAGCAAGGGACTCCAAGATGCCGGCGGTGCCGACAATCCACGTAAGACGCAGAAACAGGATGACCCCCAGAATATTCTGGAGGCAGGGGAGGTAGACGCCCATGAAGGTCCCCATCTGAGGGCTCTGTGGAGGGGAGGGGGTGAGATGGGACAACAACAGAGGAGAAAGGAGATTAATGTGTGCATGAGTGTGTATGTGTAGGGGAGAGGAACATGAGGTGAGAATTGCAGCAATGTTGGCAGCAAAAATTAAGACAGAAGAAAGTAAGAGAAGGAAAAAAATCAGGGGAAATAAAAGCGTACCTAAGGGGGAAGTGAAACGGGAACAAAAACAAAATGTGCACACGTGGTAAAAAGTGAGTCAATTCAGTTTTTCCCACAATATGAAATCATGAAATCTGTTTTCAGAGTTGCAACAAAATGGACAAAGCACCCCTACACAGTTTAAATATTAAAGTCCTGTTATTACACATTAAAAAACACAAAATAAAATGCATCTTTCAACCTTTAACTTAAGCTTTTTTGTCCAGAGGGGAAACTTGTCTTGTAGCCAGGTCAAAAAATTGAACACACAGAGACATAGGTGCACAGACTCGGGACAAAAGGCACAATACGACACATGAATACATCATGTGACAACAGGAAACAGAGAGAACTAAAACCATAAGTTCCCACTAAGTATTAAAGATCTTGATTCACTTTCCGGTGCTTAATAATTGATAAGCTGTGGTTTTTCTCAGGTATTGTTTGAACCATCTCTTTGATGGCGCAGCGTCATTAATGTGCAGGGAAATCCTCAGTCAAAGCTGCCACTGTTTGCAATACAAAGATCGCGCTTCATGCTCTCCGAAACATGAATGTTTGATGAAAATGAGACGTACGTTACGGATTTCAGACTTACATCTCAGTGACACAGGCATCATTTCTTTAAACCACTATACTTGCTGATTTGTGGGAAATCCTTCAGTGCTTCCACCCTGAAAGATAGCATTCCTTGCAGAAAGCTATTGTTTCGCAACAGCATATAAAAAGGCTCAGATGACAGGAATATGTTAAACTTTTCTGACAAAGTCCCAACATGTCGAATCGATCACCTAGCGGTGACAGGCAGCTACCTTTTTAGCCATCCATCTCCAAATGTGCAGCACTGCTCCCACCAGTCCGGACGAAGAGGGGCGACAGTGGTGTCAGCTTAATTCTTCACCGAGATGTTCCCTGTGAGCCAATGGGAGGTGCCCTAGGCCTCTTTCCATGCAGGGGACAGGATGGGGCAACTGGCATGGGACTGGAGCTGTGGTTACAGAGGCATCTATGTGCCGCATGGCAGCATTGTGGCCACTTTTAATTTTTCCTTTTTAAGAAAACGGATCCTAGAGAACCAGCACGAATGGACTGTGGAATTTCTTATTACATCTACTTTTACTGCTGTTTCTGACTCAACCAAGAGGGTCGACAGGTATTTAGTGAAAAGATACTGTGCTCTATATTAATGTAGCATTTAAAGGGGAACACCACCTTATTAGGAACTCCAATATGTTATTTCCACGGCTTAGGAAAGTTCAATAAATATTTATGAACATGATCTACTTTCTCAGAAACCAGAGAAGTCTCAAACTTGTAATGTCATGGGAGACTGAATTTGTGGACACACAGAAATTTGGTTTTCTTTTTTATATCCAAATTGAGCTTTATTCTATTGTAGTGTTCTCAGTTCTGAAACAGAAAATGTGCCCATATACTGAGAACATCCCCCTGAGTGCTCTCTGCGTCATCTATAACACCTTTCCCAATGCACTATCTATGGAGGAGCTCCAGACTTTACACCTATGACATCACAAATTTGACTTTTAGCACCCTAGTTTTTGGGTCTGGAAGAGAGTTGTTCATGTTTACTGATATTTTTGGACTGTCTTGGACCATAAGACAAGAATAACCTGTATGAGTTTCACAGAATTGGTGTAGTTCCCCTTTAAGGAGGCTTTCAGAGTTTCGTACCCAGACAGACAAAGTTTGTCGATCTGTGCCCGGGTCCACATGAAAAGGTCTGCTTCATCTGTATGTGGGTACGCTTCACATCAGGTCTGAAAATCAACTGTACCAAACACTGGAGTGGACTGCCATTTAACAGGAGTAGAAGTCGGCAAGCAGAGGTACAAAAGCATTTATCAACACTGCCGGTCTCTTCCGAAATCTGTGTTTGTGTGCAGCACTTGCCAATCTCATCCTCTGACCTAGGAAGGAAGGTCAGTGGGTCGTTCTTGACATCATCTCCAAAATAAAAAAGTATTCGGCATGATGCGAAGGTCGATCCAATCTTGCGCTTTTTTCTACACTGTAGCAACAACATGAACAAATGTCATGTAGATGATGATCAATAACTGCATATAAAAGATGGACAACATGACCCCACTTCCTCCCACTGAACCAAATTAAAGCGAAAATATCACAGATAGGGCCGCTGCTATCTTGCGCTGGCAGTATCACTGGGGATGAGAGTCTACGTGGTAGCGATCACTGATCATTGAGTTCCCACCATCTGACCCAATTGCGAGCACACTGATTGGCACACACAGCTGTCAGTCATGATGCCACACCCCCTTTTTATAGCATCAAATAACTACTTACAACCGAAACTACCAGAAAAATTAACAATTGAACATACATCACAGCAGTGATGGCCAAATGAAGCCTCATGAAGCATTTTCTTTATTTTCTAAGCCCACTAGATGGCGCTCATGGTTTAAAGAGAGAGGCTCAAAGAATGGCAATTCAATAGGCCCGTTTCCACCGCAGGAACTTCAGGGTAATTTTACGGGGCCAGGGCCGTTGGTGCGTGTCTCCACCACAGGAACCACCCCCGAAGGACAGAGTTCCAGAACTTTTACTGGGGCTAAACAAGTCTCTGCCTCGGAGTAGGTAGTGAGAGCGGCCCCGAAAAACTCCTGGCTGGGGCTTGGGGTTTACTTGGTGCTGATTGGATATACTCAAGGCGGGATGTGACGTCAACAGAAAGCGACAAAATAGCCGGCATTTTTAAAACTCACCCTGGTCAAAATGGTCGCGCAATGATTACGTCACATCCAGAGCCCAGTAACTTTACAGGAACCTTCTTCCTACTCCGCCCTTTTAGTGGAGACACTGGTACCAGGAACTTCTTCAGTGGAAACGAGCCTAATGTGCTTTCAACCTTTTTGTTGAACAAAAAGCGCCATCTAGTGGGCTCAGAAAATAAAGACAACGCTTCATGAAGCTTCATTTGGCCATCACTACATCACAGTGATAAGAATGACATAGAATGACAGAAACTATCTTTGACATTATTTCATGTGCACTTTCATCTTTCAGTTTGGCACATGTCCAATCTTCTTACAAGAAGTAGGCGGAGTCTATGAGCTGTGCTGCGGCCAGCCACCAGGGGGCGATTGAGATGTTTTGGCTTCACTTTCGAGGAGCTATCGTGTCCTTCATCTTTATTATACAGTCTTAAATGATGACATTAGTGTACTCAAGTATGGAGCAACATGACTAACGTGACAGCTGAGCAGCAGGGCAGTGGGAATGGGGGGGTCGTCATCATACTCAGGCATAGTACAGCTCAATCAATAAAATAAGACTGATGCCTCAACGGAAGCTTGATGATTTTTAACTATAGATGCCATTTGCCCACTAGTGGTACAGCATCTAAAAGTGTGGTTTCTAAAAACATTTCTCTCAAGGTTCAATTATTCTGTGTATCTTTGAAGCCCAAAAACTTTTCTTGAAGCAATATAAGCCTGCTGACTGGATTCGTAATAACTCTCCTGCAATATTTAACTTCCAAAACTGAATACTTGTGTATGTAAAATAAACTGTGCGACTATTTATCCCAGACTTACAAATAGTTAATTCAAATATTTCTGTGTTTGACACACTGATAAAGTTTCACAAAAGGGTGAGCAAGGACACAAAATTCTGTAGACCAAAAACATAAGGTGATCAGGTTTGAACACCCCCAGCGAGATTTAATACAAACGGCAGGGTTTCGTCGGTCAAAGACCCTGTTATGTAATGACAGTTCAGCTTGTTTAAAAGAACAGCTGTTAATATGCAACTGTACAGGACATAACTGTACTCCACTGTGAAGCTGTGATACAAACACTGTATAAAAACCAGGCTCTCTGCTGTACCTTAACAGCCTTCTTCTTGGGCCCCTCATCATCATCGGCCTCCTCGTGCTCTTGGGCCCCCTGGGTGAGGTTGGTGTAGTTTGCCAGTTTATTGAGGAGAGACGACACCATGGGGTTGCTGTCCATCTCTTCCTGCAATAGAGAATACTGCTTCAATATGCTGAACACAAACTTGATTTTTCAATTTAACATGTTTTAACTTCCTGTACCTCACTCACTGGTCAGTTACTTTATGCTTAAGAGGACAAGCTCTTCCAGGATGAAAATGAACGGTGCAATATTTAGTTAACTGTTCAAAGCATCTCAGAATAGCTCGGCTGGGTCAGCTTCATGCAGAAGCCGCAGTGCCTAATTGATTCTTTACAAAGGCCAGTGACCACAGAGTTGCGAGGTCTGCCAAATGGCAGAGCAAAGCACCTGGAAAGAGTTCAGCTGAATGTTCTTGAAGCAACGCTCCAGCTTTTATGGCAAATAAACTCTCTGATTGACACATTGTTGAGCTAAGAAAAGATTCTGAGTTATTTATTTAGTTCACCACAACGTACCCTGAAGCTTTAGCAAACTGCGCATCCATGAACGCTTTGAGCTTTGTAGGTTGGTTCTAATTAAAATGTAGAAATAGTTCTGGCAGTGAATGTTGATTTGGAGAGGATATGGATGTGTACACAGCTTCTACCCAACACTTTTGGGTTTCTCTTTAGCATCTAGCCAGAACAGATCACACTGTCAGGTTTCCTTGTGCATGAGTGCTATATGAAGTTGGTGGTGATGAAGACTGACAGTTACCTCAAACAGGGCCATGTTGGTGCCATCGTAGCTGTTGGTTTTGTCATTGTCTGTGTTGTTGATAAAGGGACTGTTTTCCTTGGGGATGCCATCACCTGTGGAAACACAACACAGTTGTTTCTTTACAACAAATACAGAGTAGACTTAACACAAGACGTAACCAAGGCAAAATGTGGATGGTGGCTGTTTCCACAAGAGCCTGCTTCCTACTACTACACTACTGATAATTTAAAGGCTGTTAATGTTTGTCGGTGAAGATTCTCAGTCACCCAGGTCATGGTAATCTTAAGTGCTATATCGTAGGCAACTGGACTTGCTTGAGTTTCTTGAGGATGTTTTGCCTCTGATCCAAGAAGCTTCTTCAGTTCTAAAGGACTGGTGCATAGTCGCAAGCTTTTAAACTCTTTTAAACTCCACTCCCACAAAGAGTTTAAAAGCTTGCGACTCTGCACCAGTCATTAGCCCCTTTCACACTGCCAGATTTTCCGCAAATGTTGGGCCTGTAAGCTGCAAGTGTTTAGACACAGAAAGCCGGATTGGCGAGTTGACCCGAGGTGCCCAATTTTCCGCCTCGTAGGGAAGTCATATTGGCGGAACCCTTTAAGTTTAAACAGACTGAGACGGCCTTCCGCAATGGGAGGGGCTGTTGAAGACTTGTGGGAGGAGCTGTTGATGACACCGCACATGCGAGCCCGTTGGTGGTGGATAAACAGGAAACAGCTGATAGCAGGAATTAGCGAGCAGCTAGTAGCAAGAGGGAAACACAAACCTGACAGACACTGTAAAGATGAGCAACTGGGGAGACAAGGAATTGCGCGCCCTCCTTGTCCTCACAAACGAAGAGGCCATTAACCGTCAGATGACAGGAGCGGTGAAGAACGGGCCGACTTATGAGAGAATCGCCAAAGGACTGACCAGCTGCAGCTTCCATCCCACGTCACTGTTTACGTCACATGCTGAGCTACACGTTTTGTTACTTGCTCACGCCCCCCATTGCCCCAAAAAAGGTGCATTCTGTATAAACAAAAGTAGGTAGGCGGCATTTTGCTGCACTCCCCGATTTTGTTTTTATACTGCCAATACAGAACAAAGACTGATTGGGCTTTCCTGCAAATTTGCACAATTCCTGTCTAAAAAGGGCTATTTAGAACTGAAGAAGCTTCTTGGATGAGAGGCCAAACGTCAAGTAAGTCCAGTTGCCTATGATATAGCACTTATGGCTGTTAATGTTTGTATTAAAGGTGTCACAATCACAGCATTTGCGCACAACTCATATGCTTCAATGCTAAATATCCAACATTTATTATATTTTCTGTTCAATATTTATCCATTATGGCTGAACAGTGCACAAAAAGCCTAAAGTATACACAAGAAATCAATGTTCAGCTCTGCATTAGGAAAGAGTGCATCAGCACTTTCCTTTGATGGTATAGTAATATTTTGTATGGTGTCCTTTAGTGTTTTGTACACCTGTGGACAGACAAGCGACAATAGATTTGGGCAGGCTCTAATTGAGCTTCATGTAGCCAAGAAAATGTCAGGGCTGACACCAATCCAGCTCCTGTAGATCTGTCTACAACATCCCTAATTGGTGTTTGTAACAAGCAAACTTTTGCACAGAAAACATGCCAGAAGTCGCGTTGATAACATCAAGAAACAGGATGAAAGTAATTTCCTATTTGAAAACAGTGGAGATTAAATGCCCCAAAACTACTTTCTGTCTGTCTCTGCTTTGCACTCAGGTGCATCTGAGTTTTATAAGTGTACGTACATTTGTAATAATCCAGATCACAATGAGGGCTTCTCATACTATTCATTAATAATTCACGCAAAAACATTCAAAGGGTAAATGGACTCTCACTCTAAGAACACATATTGGCTGTTGGCAGACTAACAAGTAGGTGATCTCAGACACCGACAATCACACAGCACAGACAGAAATAATGCAAATAACAAAGCAAATTAAGGATCATATCTACGACTAATTGATCCAGCTAGCATGCCAACCTCACAGTCACTTAAAGACAGACAGGTAACACTGAGATATGCAAATGACCATCGCTGTTGTGATGCTTGGCTGCTGATTTCTAGCTTTTAATGTAAAATATATGCTTCACTTGTCATGTTAGACATTTTTATCTCTTTCCAATTAAAGAACAAAAACACTTCACATGACACAATAAAAATGATTTCATTTATTTCTATGTATCCTAAGTCACAGATCTGACATTAGCCACTTTGTCATAACACACTTTGGAGCTCCTACCCTATGAGCTATAGGAAAATAGATTTCACAACTTCTAACGTGTCAGTAAATAAGTTCTCTTTCGGCCTGTTGGTGGTAATTGTGATAAGTACACACCCTCCTCTCGCTCTCTGCATCTCCACTTTACCGACCACAACAGAAGTCACACAGTCGGCCTACCGTCACACACGGCAACCAAGCCGTCTTCAGAGACGACATTCTTGCACCAAACTGTGAACCACGCTGTGTCTTTGCTGCTGGGGCCGGCAACCCACACAGCAACGCACTGAGCAAATGTTTTGAATGAGCAGACAGCTTAGAGTGTCGGGGTTAAGATACCCGACATGCTGCAGTCAAGTGCAAGTGTAAACTGTGAGGGGATCTTTTTTTTCCAGGCAAATGTGTTGGCTGAAGATCTGTGTGAGCATGTGTGCTTCCATTTCCTCCATCGTATGAAAGATGGTCTCAGTTAAATGTGATCATGTTATACGACTTCGAATGAAAGCACCAATGTCTTTAGTAGTTTGTTTAAGGGTAGAAAAATGTCGTCTATGCAACACGGGTCATATTAAAACTCTGCTGGCACAAGCCTCAGCAAAACAGAAACACAAAACTGGTACATTGTGCTTCACAGACAATAAAACACTATAAATAGAAGCCAATAAGACAAACAATAAGACAATAAACGTTATGTTCAAAAGGAATAACAAGAGGATAAAGACAAAAGGGAACCAAACAAAGACGGTGACGATAAACATCTTAAAGTGAAGGGCGAAGACGTCCATGCCACAGCACCCACAGAGAACTAACACAAGGACAATGAAGGACAGAAAATTAAACTATCCTCCAGACACAACAAGTTCAGACTCCTGCAGCCCTTTCTTGCAGAAATAGTAGTCGTCATTCAACAGTATCCACCAATTTTAATGACTCAAAGTCTGAGAAACAAACTGAACACCAGCAGCACAACACAATAGTTGACTACTCGCTTCTGTTTAGCAGGCTGCTTTAATACTTGAAGGTCACGACACTTGAGACTTGAGAGACAAACCACCAATCAGTCAAGTTGCTGTTCATCCACGTCTGTCCAGACTCCAAATATGGATGTTGCCGCAAAGAAGTTACATCCTCTAAAACATGGATGCTCCACACACGTCTTCAACTCAGCAGCACAGAAGAACAATACAATCAGCACAGATTCAAGGTGGACACCCAAGATTAGTGTCACCAATTCAGAATCTGACCACGTCTCCCTTTCTGTTCCTGAGATATGGACAGGAAAGTCTTTTTGCAGAACATTATGATGTCACAGTGAAGTTGACCTTTGACCTTTGGGATCTAAAATGTCTTTACTTCATTGTTTTATCCTATTAAGACAGTTTTGTGAAATTTTGTCATGATTAGAGTATGAATTCTTGAGTTACGCGAGGTCACAGTGACCTTTGACTCTGATCAATTCATGCTTCAGTTTAAGTGGACGTTTGTGCCAAATTTGAGGAAATTCCCTCAAGGCGCTCCTGAGATATGGACAGTCAGTATGGACGCTCATCTTTATTCTTTCTATTGTCAAAACTGTTGCTCAGTGCTCCAGGGCCGCAAACAATTTGTTCCATTACTGCTTAGTCTGTCGATTATCTTAGAAAAAGAATCAATCGTGATATCCCAGGGCTGGTTGACCTATGACCTATTGACTGATTCAAACTGTTTTGTATAATAAAGAGTTCAAACTCCAAAGATCAACTTGCAAAGACAGCAAGCAAATCCCTTCAGTCAGCGCATCTGAAATGTGAGAATGTTTGGAATTTCCACCTGAAAAATGACAATTAATAACCAAAATTATTGCAGATTAATTTTTTGTTGACAGAGTAATCAATTAATGGAGACACTGTTTCAGCTCCACTGTGCACCGAATCTGAATTTAAGACTTTTTAAGACTTTAAGGACAAGTAGAAACTCGGATAAAAGAACTATTCAAACACTAAAGTGCTCTGTTTGTTTATTTTTTAACATTTTTATTCAAACTACTAGTTCTTGACGATTTAACACTCTGATACTTCAAGTTAGAAAAATTCACAACCATATGCCAATATTTTGGTTCATGCTCCACCTCCTCACATTACTCAGAGACCAGAGTTAACCACGACACTCTGCCGGCTTGTCACCATTCATCAGTGGAGCTCTCCGGCCGCAGCCGGGATTTCATGGGTAACTTTTACTGCTTGATCCAGCTGCAGGAGGAATAAGAGGCTTGCAGCGTGGCTTAGCCCGGTGGTAATCACAGGGAAAGTCACTATGTCCTTGTAGTGTGCAGCTCTTTAAAACGCGGTCTGAGTGGCGTGGTGGAACACATTATGTGAGGGAGCAGCGTTTCAATAAGCTGGGATGACAGGGAATGAAGTCAAGATAATGACCATTGTGCTGCGAGGATGCAGCCAAGGGTGAATCAAGCTGTCAGTCATCACGTAGCTTGGTAGGATGCTACACACACCACAGGTAATCATTGTCTTAAATGATAGTGGCTAAATCCTCTTTGAGGCCCGGCTGCAAGCTAAAACTGTCCGTACTGTTTCTAAATCAGGCGGGGTTCTGCTTTTAGTGTGTGTAAAGTGGTTTAGACGTCATTCAGGAAGTGAACGGAAACACTGAAATAACTTCAGGAGCAATAGTTTTATAACACCTGCCACAATACATCAAACAATACTTTTAAAAAGAATATTCTGTGACCCATTGATCAAATTATAAGATTCAACATTTTGATTACAGTAGAAATACTGTCATGGTGTCTGCATGTGTCAGCACTTACATTTCATGCCCTTTAAGACCTTTTCAAGATAAAAAAAAACCCCATCT